TCACGACGCCAGGACAGCGGAGTCACTCACCACCTTCCGGAGACATTTGAAACCCCACCTCTTTAAGGAATACCTGGGATAGGATAAAGTAATCCTTCTACCCCCCCCCAAAAAAAAAAAAATAATAAATAATATTGGAAAGTGGTTTATCCCACTGGCTATAGGGTGAATGCACCAATTTGTAAGTCGCTCTGGATAAGAGCGTCTGCTAAATGACGTAAATGTGCCCCTGAGCAAGGCACTTAACCCTAATTGCTCCTGTAAGTCGCTCTGGATAAGAGCGTCTGCTAAATGACTAAAATGTAAATGTAATAATTTGTGTGAGATTGAGGGCATCTAGTTTGGATTGTAGGATGGCCCACGGTGTTAAGCATATCCCAGTTTAGGTCACCAAGCAGTACGAAATCTGAGGATAGATGGGGGTTAATCAATTCACATATGGTGTCCAGGGCACAGCTAGGGGCTGAGGGAGGTCTGTAGCAAGCGGCAACAGTGAGAGACTTATTTCTGGAAAGGTGGATTTTTAGAAGTAGGAGCTTAAACTGTTTGGGCACAGACCTGGATAGTATGATAGAGCTCTGCAGGCTATCTCTACAGTAGATTGCAACTCCACCCCCTTTGGCAGTTCTATCTAGACGGAAAATGTTGTAGTTGGGATGGACATTTCTGAATTTTTGGTGGCCTTCCTAAGCCAGGATTCAGACACTGCTAGAACATCAGGGTTGGCGGAGTGTGCTAACACAGTGAATAACTCAAACTTAGGAAGGAGGCTTCTGATGTTAACGTGCAGAAAACCAAGGCTTTTACGGTTACAGAAGTCAACAAATGATAGCTTCTGGGGAGTAGGAGTGATACTGGGGGCTGCAGGGCCTGGGTTAGCCTCTACATCACCAGAGGAACAGAGGAGTACTAGAATAAGGATACGGCTAAAGGCTTTAAGAACTGGTCTTCTAGTGCGTTGGGTACAGAGAATAAAGGGGGCAGATTTCCGGGCGTTGTAGAATAGATTCAGTGCATTATGTACAGACAAGGATATGGAAGGATATGAGTACAGTGGAGGTAAACCTAAACGTTATAGGTAACAATGAAAGAGATAGCATCACTGGAGGCACCGATTGAGCCGGTCTCGGCGTGTATGGGGGGTGGAACAAAGGAGCTATTTGAGACAGTTTGAGAGGGACTTGGGGTTCTACAGTGAAATTGTATAATAAGAACTAACTGGAACAGCAATAGGCAAGGCATATTGACATGAGAGAGAGGCATAAAGCAATCACAGGTGTTATCAGAGAGAGCTAAGGTAACAACTGGTAATGGCGATGAAAGTTTGGGCTGAGGCTAAACAGATAAACAGGACAGGGTACCGTGTAAAGGAACAGTCCAGCAGGCATCAGCTGTGCAGCTGAGTGATCATAAGGTCCAGTGAACAGCAATATGTGAGTCCGAGAGCAGCTCGAATTGGTGCTACAGCACAGCGAGCAGGAAGCACGGCTGTTGTTTGCGTGTGCTAGCGGGCTGTGGCTAGCAGATGGATCTTCGTGGTCATCGCAACGGGAAGCCTGTTGAAACCACAGACGATTACGTCGGCAGACCAGTTTTGATAGATCGGCGGGGCTCCGTGTCGACTCTAGGAGGTCCCGTCTGGTTGACAGAGAGGTAGATAGCCGGGAGATGGGCCTGGCTCAAGGCTAACTGGTGCTTGCTTCGGGGGCAGTGGTGATTAGCCTACAGCAACATCCATTCGGTTGCGGCTAGCTAGTTGCGATCCGGTGTTAAGGTCCAGTGATTCAGTTATTCCGGCAGACATCCGATGTTCTGGGTGAAAACCGTTAACGGTGGCTAATAGCAAGTAGCTCGTTAGCTAGTTAGCTGGCTAGCTAGTTTCAACTGGAGATTCTAGATAAAGGTGAGTAAATAATAGAATCCGTTCCACATTGAGTGAGGCGGGTTGCAGGAAAGTATATTTAGTAGAAGGATGAAAAGTGTGATAGGGAAATATATACGTAAAATACAAAAAAATACAAAAACTGGTTATTTACACGGACACACAACAGAGAACACGACCGCACTGCTACGCCTTCTTGTGTAAGTCTCTAAGAGCTTTGCACATCTGGATTGTACAAGATTTGCACATTATTATTTATTTTATTCTTCAAGCTCTGTCAACAGCCATTTTCAAGTCTTGCCATAGATTTCCAAGCTGATTTAAGTAAAAACTTTAACTAGGCCACTCTGGAACATTCAATTTCATCTTGGTAAGCCACTCCAGTGTATATTTGGCCTTGTGTTTTAGGTTATTGTCCTGCTGAAAGGTGAATTTGTCTCCCAGTGTCTGTTGGAAAACAGACTGAATCAGGTCTTCCTCTAGGATTTTGCCTGTGCTTAGCTCTATTCCATTTCTTTTTATCAGAAAAAACTCCCTAGTCCTTGCTGATGACAAGCATACCCATAGCATCATACAGCCACCACCATGCTTGAAAATATGAAGAGTGGTACTCAGTGATGTGTTGTGTTGGATTTGCCCCAAACATAACACTTTGTAATCAGGACATAAAGTACATTTGCCAAATGTTTTGCAGTTTTACTTTAGTGCCTTATTGCAAACAGGATGCATGTTTTTGAATATTTTTTATTCTGTACAAGCTTCCTTCTTTTCACTCTGTCAATTAGGTTAGTATTGTGAAGTAACTACAATGTTGTTGATCCATCCTCAGTTTTCTCCTATCACAGCCATTAAACTCTGTAACTGTTTTGAAGTCACCATTGGCCTGGTGAAATCCCTGAGTGGTTTCCTTCCTCTCCAGCAACTGAGTTAGGAAGGATGCCTGTCTTTGTAGTGACTGGGTGTGTATAATGCACCATCCAAAGTGTAATTAATAACTTCACCATGCTCAAAGGGATATTCAATGTTTGTTTGTTTATTACCCATCAACCAATAGGTGCCCTTCTTTGTGAGGCATTGGAAAACCTCCCTGGTATTTGTGGTTGAATCTGTGTTTGAAAGGCACTGCTCGACTGAGGGACCTTACAGATACAGTATATTCGGAAAGTATTCAGACCCCTTGACTTTTTCCAAAAATTGATTAAATTAATGTATTTCCTCATCAATCTCACACAGTACCCCATAAAGACAAAGCAAAAACAGGTTTTTAGACATTTTTGCAAATGTATAAAAAATTGAAAACAGAAATACATTATTTACGTAAGTATTCAGACCATTTGCAGTGAGACCCGAAATTGAGCTCAGGTATATCCTGTTTCCATTGACCATCCTTGAGATGTTTCTACAACTTGATTGGAGTCCACCTATGGTAAATTCAATTGATTGGACATGATTTGGAAAGGCACACCTGTCTATATAAGGTCCCACAGTTGACAGTGCATGTCAGAGCAAAAACCAAGCCATGAGGTCAAAGGAATTGTCCGTAGAGCTCCGAGACAGGATTGTGTCGAGGCACAGATCTGGCGAAGGGTACCAAAAAATGTCTGCAGCATTGAAGGTCCCCAAGAACACAGTGGCCTCACATTCTTGAATGGAAGAATTTGGAACCACCAAGACTCTTCCTAGAGCTGGCCACCCGGCCAAACTGAACAATCGGGGGAGAAGGGCCTTGGTCAGGGAGGTGACCAAGAACCCAATGGTCACTCTGACAGAGCTCCAGAGTTCCTCTGTGGAGATGGGAGAAACTTCCAGAAGGACAACCATCTCCAATCAGGCCTTTATGGTAGAGTGGCCAGATGGAAGCCACTCCTCAGTAAAAGGCACATGACAGCCCACTTGGAGTTTGCCAAAAGGCACCTAAAGACTTTCAGACCATGAGAAACAAGATTCTCTGGTCTGATGAAACCAAGATTGAACTCTTTGGCCTGAATGCCAAGCGTCACGTCTGGAGGAAACCTGGCACCATCCCTACGGTGAAGCATGATGTTAGCAGCATCATGCTGTGGAGATGTTTTTCAGCGGCAGGGACTGGTAGACTATTCAGGATCGAGGGAAAGATGAATGGATCAAAGTACAGAGAGATCCTTGATGAAAACCTGCTCCAGAGTGCTCAGGACCTCAGACTGGGGCGAAGGTTCACCTTCCAACAGGACAATGACCCTGGCTTCGGGATAAGTCTCTGAATGTCCTTGAGTGGCCCAGCCAGAGCCCGGACTTGAACCCGATCTAACATCTCTGGAGAGACCTGAAAATAGCTGTGCAGCGACACTCCCCATCCAACCTGACAGAGCTTGAGAGGATCTGCAGAGAAGAATGGGAGAAACTCCCCAAATACAGGTGTGCCAAGCTTCATACCCAAGAAGACTCAAGGCTGTAATCGCTGCCAAAGGTCCTTCAACAAAGTACTGAGTAAAGGGTCTAAATGCTTATGCAAATGTGATATTTCAGATGTTTATTCATTTTTTTTCTTCAAAAAAATCTTTAACAACTGCTTTTGCTTTGTCATTATGGGGTATTGTGTGTAGATTGATGAGGGAAAAAAACAATTTAATCCATTTTAGAATAAGGCTGTAACGTAACAAAATGTGGAAAAAGTCAAGGTGTCTGAATACTTTCTGAATGCACTGTAATTGTATGTGTGGAGTACAGAGATGAGGTACTCATTCAAAAATCATTTTAAACACTATTATTGCAAACAGAGTGAGTCCATACAACTTATTATGTTACTTTTTAAGCAAATGCTTACTCCTCAGCTTATTTAGGCTTGCCATAACAAAGGGGTTGAATACTTATTGACTGAATACATTTCAGATTTTAATTTTTTATTAATTTCTAAAAACATAATTCCACTTTGAAATTATGGGGTATTGCGTGAAGGCCAGTGAAAAAACTATCAATTTAATCCATTTTAAATTCATGCTCTAACACAACAAAATGTGGAAAAAGTCAAGTGGTGTGAATACTTTGTATATACAGTATAATAATACAGTCCGGTTCATTGTCAGCTCTTTGTTTTGTATCTCCACAGACCAACGATGCTTTAGGCCCCACGTGGAACTGCATGTACTTCATCCCTCTGATAATCATCGGCTCCTTCTTCGTGTTGAACCTGGTATTGGGAGTGCTCTCAGGGTGAGTCGACGTTACAGCATCTCATTGTGCTGGGGTGGCTGACAGCTTTAATACACACTGTCACTGTCTGCACAAGTTAATTAGTTTTATACAAAAGGTTAACGCACAATCTACTCTAATTAACTGCTTGTAAAGGAGACAAGGATTGAGTCGTCCCCCCCCACTTCTCTCCCTGGTGTCTGAATGATGAGGGAGGTCAGGTCAGCGCTGAACAACAGGTCTAAGAACAGTCATTATCTCCTGTTGTTGTTGGCTTGCAGGGAGTTTGCCAAGGAGAGGGAGCGGGTGGAGAACCGCAGGGCGTTCATGAAGCTGCGGAGGCAACAGCAGATTGAGAGGGAACTCAATGGCTACCGGGCCTGGATCGACAGAGCAGGTACTGAAACCACTATAGACTCAATACACATCACGCTTTTGAAAAGTTACCTCAGAAACACAATGTCCTTGATATTTAAGTTTCTACTGTATGAATCAGACTTCATTGTTGGGTCTGCTTTGCAGAGGAGGTGATGCTTGCAGAGGATAATAAGAATTCAGGACCATCAGCTCTTGATGGTAAGTCTGGAAAGATGGCCCAATGGTTATATTGTCTTTACACCACTACATAGTTTACAATTAATCTGTCTGTACTGGATTTATGGGATTCTATTTTACACCCATGAATATCTGAATAGATTCATTATCATCTGCTTGTCCTCTAAAACTGTCAACCACACGCTGTAAACATAACTATAACATAGGCCTACATTGAAACATATAATTCGTAGAAAACATGTCATTTTGTATGAATTGTTAATTTATTAATGTCATAGTACCCTATGCACTGTGCATGATGCATAGATAACATTGTATTACGTAGGTAAGTGCTAGGGAGAAAGAAAAGGTGTTGTTGATTCTCAGTCAATTTCAGTCTCTCCTGAAGTATTAAATGTATACATTTTGTCTCATTGAGTGTTGGAACGTACAGTACTATCTGTTTGGTTGACTGTGACAGTAATTTACTTTCTCAAAAATAGTGTTTTGAGAAGTTTTGTCTCCCAAGACTTTAAACGTGTATGTTATCCTGTATGTATACAGTGCATTCAGAAATTGTTCAGACCCCTTGACTTTTTCCACATTTTGTTACGTTACAGCCTTATTCTAAAATGGATTAAATTGTTTTTTCCCCTCATCAATCTACGCACAATACCTCATAATGACAAAGCAAAAACAGGTTTTTCATTTTTTTGCATATCTATTAAAAAACCCTGGAAATATCACATTTACAAAAGTATTCAGACGTTTTACTCAGTACTTTGTTGAAGCACCTTTGGCAGCGATTACAGCCTTGAGTCTTCGTGGGTATGACGCTACAAGCTTGGCACACCTGTATTTGGGGAGTTTCTCCCATTCTTCTCTGCAGATCCTCTCAAGCTCTGTCAGGTTGGATGGGGAGTGTCGCTGCACAGCTATTTTCAGGTCTCTCCAGAGATGTTAGATCGGGTTCAAGTCCGGGCTCTGGCTGGGCCACTCAAGGACATTCAGAGACTTATCCCGAAGCCACTCCTGCATTGCCTTGGCTGTGTGCTTAGGGTCGTTGTCCTGTTGGAAGTTGAACCTTCACCCCAGTCTGAGGTCCTGAGCTCTCTGGAGCAGGTTGCCATCAAGGATCTCTCTTTACTTTGCTCCGTTCATCTTTCCCTCGATCCTGACTAGTCTCCCAGTCCCTGCCGCTGAAAAACATCCCCACAGCATGATGCTGCCACCACCATGCTTCACCGTAGGGATGGCGCCAGGTTTACTCCAGACGTGACTCTTGGCATTCAGGCCAAAGAGTTCAATCTTGGTTTCATCAGACCAGAGAATCTTGTCTTTAGGTGCCTTTTGGGAAACTCCAAGCGGGCTGTCATGTGCCTTCTACTGAGGAGTGGCTTCCGTCTGACCACTCTAGCATAAAGGACTGATTGGTGGAGTGCTGCAGAGATGGTCCTTCTGGAAGGTGCTCCCATCTCCACAGAGGAACTCTGGAGCTCTGTCAGAGTGACCATCGGGTTCTTGGTCACCTCCCTGACCAAGGCACTTCTCCCCCGATTGCTCAGTTTGCCCGGGCGGCCATCTCTAGGAAGAGTCTTGGTGGTTCCAAACTTCTTCCATTTAAGAATGATCGAGGCCACTGTGTTCTTGGGGACCTTCAATGATGCATAAATGTTTTGGTACCCTTCCCCAGGTCTGTGCCTCGACACAATCCTGTCTCGGAGCTCTACGGACAATTCCTTCGACCTCATGGCTTGGTTTTTGCTCTGACATACTCTGTCAACTGTGGGACCTTATATAGACAGTTGTGTGCCTTTCCAAATCATGTCCAATCAATTGAATTTACCACAGGTGGACTCCAATCAAGTTGTGAAAGCATCTCAAGGATTATCAATGGAAACAGGATGCACCTGAGCTCAATTTCGAGTCTCATAGCAAAGGATCTGAATACTTATGTAAATAAGGTATTTCAGTTTTTTGTTTTTATACATTTGCAAACATTTCTAAAAACCTGTATTCGCTTAGTCATATTGGGGTATTGTGTGTAGATTGATGATCAATTTTAGAATACTTTTTTTTTGGAAGAAGTCAAGGGGTCTGAATACTTTCCGAATGCACTGTATGTCTCTGGGCTTGTGTATAATCATGATATGTACTGTATGTATACCAAATACATATTTAGAAGCACATTTTAGCTATACCTAAAATACCGTTGTTGTTGCTTCTGGTGTGGTGCACTTCAAAAACAACTTTGGTTAGGACTATTGAGGACTGTGCATGCTGTACCCCCAAAAGCAATCATCTTAACCTACCAGACATATCAGACACACACTTACACAAAGTTATGACCATATCAAGTGAAGCATGATTTTTCCCCCCCCAACAAACAAATCGTTTTTATTAAATGTTGATTGACAGCTCCCACGAGGCTGTCTGAATGGAATACAAGCGGTAACCATGGTGAGGAACAATTTATATTCTACACTTCCTTGCCACCTTTTGTTCCTTTGCAACAACTGAGTCTGACATGAACGCTAAAATAGACCCAGCTATTGTTCCACAAACCCACTTACAAATAAACCACGAGCCATTCTGACCTCCAAAAATAAAATTTGCCACCAGAGAACAAAAAGTAGCTGTAAATGCAGAAGATGCAATAGCTTTGATTAAGGAGTGCGCCGATGTTGCCTTAGCAACTGAAATGAAATGACCGGGTGCAGCCAGTGTGTGCCTCGTGCAAACACTCCTATTGGTTCAGTGGCTTATTAAAAGGGGGAAAGTCTAGGTAAATATGAATAAATCAATTAGATTTGTACCAAAAGGTGGTGAGGGTGTAGGAGAATTGGATGGAGGAACAGCTCAACTCACCCTGATAATTCATTGTATTTTCCGCTTCAGGGACATATAGAATTAGATGTGTGCCTCAAAACCGCTCTTTAGAATGATATGGCTAAAATTAGACATTGCACCAGTGATCTCCATATAAACTTACTGTGAGCATGGGCTATAGCCGAGAGAATAGAACCAACAACAACAACAATTAGTTGTAGTTTAGTCGGGTTCATCATTCTGCATATTTTATTAACATCATGTTGCTGTAATCTCTTACCCATGTGTACTAAAGGCATCTGTTTGTGCTCTTGTTTTACAATACCCAAAGCACCGAACACAGTGGCATGCAAATGCATTTGTTATTTTCACTATTCTCTTCTCACCTCATTAGTAATGCCGTCATGATCTTGTATATCTACTTGTGTGTGTCCTGACGCATTCTCTGTGCTGGAGTGTCATAAATGTTGTGTTTTGTGTGGGCTTTCTGCGGGCTGACATTGTGAAACCTTTGGCTGCAGTGCTGAAGAGGGCCACAATCAAGAGGAGAGGACTGGACCAGCAGTATGGTGACATCTCTTCTGTGGGTGAGTGTGTGTGTGTGTGTGTATGTACATAGGCAATGAAAAGATCAATGGTTCGTAGCTAACACCCTGAATGGTTGAATGATCTGCCAGCAGGCACCCCCTCCATATTAGACTCTGTCAGTACAGAGGAGGAGATTGTCATTGGCGTATTGGGAATAAACTGGAAATGGCAGCTCATTATTTCCAGACATCATTACATGTTACAGTCAGGGGCTAAGCTAAATAGATGAGAAGGACTCTCCCCTCTAGGCATCCCGATGGCCAGAGCCAGCATCAGAAGTGCTAAAAGAGGACCCATGGCTTATTTGAAGCGTAAGGAGCGTCTGCTGCGTATCTCTATCCGCCGCATGGTGAAGACACACATCTTCTACTGGACCGTACTGGGCCTGGTGGCCCTCAACACACTCTGTGTTGCCATCGTCCATCACAACCAGCCCCACTGGCTGTCTGTGTTCCTCTGTAAGTCACACACACACACACACATACACGGGTACGTACCATCATCTCCATCCAAAATAAATCAAGTGGGGTGACGTTAATCTTTGCAATGTTTGTTTCCTACTATGTTTATGAGGGTTGTTGTTGTTCGTATTTCAGACTATGCAGAGTTCCTCTTCCTGGGTCTGTTTCTCACTGAGATGTGTTTAAAGATGTACAGCCTGGGACCCAGACTCTACTTCCACTCCGCCTTCAATCGCTTCGACTGCGGAGTGAGTGCTTTTATTTTTATCCTTCGTCCCTAACCAACATGGAGAGACCATGCCAGAGGGAAAGACAGGGAAATAGATTGTAACATTGCCCCCATTATGAGGGAGTGAGAGGAAATGCTTTACTTACAACAATGGGTGGTGACTTAAAGACTTTTGAATGAAATTAACACTGATGGGCATAATTTAGTTAATGAAGTGCAGTAAATGTATCTGCTCTGTTTCTGTCACCTCTGGTAATGGCTAGATGGGATACAGCTTTTGTCAAAGGGATGACAAAAGTTGCATGTTCGTTTCGCATCGGGAGATTTTTTGAATTTGAACTAACCCTAACCCTTTTCCTAACCTTAACCTAATTCTCCTAACCTGCTGTGTAAGTTCTCCTAACATGCTACGAAAAGTCAATTCTGACATAAACTGTATAGAATCTATATAAAACCGTCACCTCTGCACTCATGTGCGAACAGACATCCTTCATCTTTGTCTCTCTGTGCACTGTATGTTGAAGGCTGCTGTTGTTGTGCTGTTTCCGCTGTCAGTAATGTTGTTACTGGGTCTGTTAACAGGTGATAGTGGGCAGCATCTTTGAGGTGATGTGGGGATTCTTCAGGCCTGGAATGTCCTTTGGCATCAGTGTGCTGCGTGCTCTCCGTCTGCTGAGGATATTCAAGATCACCAAGTTAGTCCAAGGCCTCCTCACTACTCCTGCTTATTGGTTTATAACATTATTCCTGCAGTATGCAATGAGGCAATGCATTGCAAGCAGCAGGTTGGCATTTATTGTCATGAATCTTGCCCTGGAGGCAGCTCTGCAGAAGGGTCAGTAGCTGGCACAGCCACAAAGTCATAAAATCTGATTTTAAACCTAACCCTAACTCTAACCTTAACCACACTGCTAACCCTAATGCCTAACCTAACATTAAATGAAGACCAAAAAAAGCTAACCTTTGTTTTAAGGAGTCTTTACAATAATAGCCAATTTTGACATTGCGGCTGGCCCACCTAGCGGAAATCCCTCAGTTCTGCCTCCAGGGCAAGATTCATGACAATAAACGTCAACCTGCTAGCAAGCTGTCACGGTGTCAGTGTATGCGGTAGACTGAAGTCAGGCGCAGGACACAGAACTCAAGGAAAAAACGTATCTTTACTAAATCACGTAAAGAAACAAGAAGCCTCCACGCAGGGAGGAATAAACCCGCTCACCAACGACATCCGAGAACAAACAACAAACACGCACAGAACACAATGGGAGCCACAGGGTTAAATAGGGGCGGAGTAATCACAAGATGGGCAACAGGTGTGAAACAATCTGACACAACAGGTAGAACATAGAAACATAGAACATAGATCGGCAGCAGCTAGTACTCCGGTGACGACGAACGCCGAAACCTGCCCGAGCAAGGAGGAGGGGCAGCCTCGGCAGAATCCGTGACAGTACCCCCCCCCCCCTGACGCGCGGCTCCAGCCGTGCGTCGACACCGGCCTCGGGGACGGCCAGGAGGACGCGGCACGGAGCGAGTGGGATGATTGCGGTGGTAATCCCTCAACATGGATGGATCAAGGATATCCCTCCTAGGAACCCAGCACCGTTCCTCCGGACCGTACCCCTCCCACTCCACGAGATACTGCAGGCCCCCCACCTGACGCCTCGAATCCAAAATGGACCGAACCGAGTACGCCGGTGCCCCCTCGATGTCCAGCGGGGGCGGAGGAACCTCCCGTATCTCATTCTCCTGGAGTGGACCAGCTACCACCGGCCTGAGGAGAGACACATGGAACGAGGGGTTAATACGATAATTAGTAGGAAGTTGTAACCTATAACATACCTCGTTCAATCTCCTCAGGACTTTGAATGGCCCCACAAACCGCCGACCCAGTTTCCGGCAGGGCATGCGAAGGGGCAGGTTTCGGGTCGAGAGCCAGACCCGGTCCCCCGGTGCATACACCGGGGCCTCACTGCGGTGGCGGTCGGCGCTCGCCTTTTGCCGCCTGATGGCCCGCTGCAGACGTACATGGGCAGCGTTCCAGGTCTCCTGCGAGCGCCGAAACCAAATCAAATCAAATCAAATTTTATTGGTCACATGCGCCGAATACAACAGGTGCAGACATTACAGTGAAATGCTTACTTACAGCCCTTAACCAACAGTGCATTTATTTTAAACAAATAAAATAAAAATAAAACAACAACAAAAAAAAAAGTGTTGAGAAAAAAAAGAGCAGAAGTAAAATAAAGTGACAGTAGGGAGGCTATATATACAGGGGGGTACCGTTGCAGAGTCAATGTGCGGGGGCACCGGCTAGTTGAGGTAGTTGAGGTAATATGTACATGTGGGTAGAGTTAAAGTGACTATGCATAAATACTTAACAGAGTAGCAGCAGCGTAAAAAGGATGGGGTGGGGGGGCAGTGCAAATAGTCCGGGTAGCCATGATTAGCTGTTCAGGAGTCTTATGGCTTGGGGGTAGAAGCTGTTGAGAAGTCTTTTGGACCTAGACTTGGCACTCCGGTACCGCTTGCCGTGCGATAGCAGAGAGAACAGTCTATGACTAGGGTGGCTGGAGTCTTTGACAATTTTGAGGGCCTTCCTCTGACACCGCCTGGTATAGAGGTCCTATACGCTCGTCGGATGTGGCAGGGCTTGAAAACTATTACAGACTACAAAGGGAAGCACAGCCGCGAGCTGCCCAGTGATACAAGCCTACCAGATGAGCTAAACCACTTCTATGCTCGCTTCGAGGCAAGCAACACTGAAGCATGCATGAGAGCACCAGCTGTTCCGGATGACTATGTGATCACGCTCTCCGTAGCCGATGTGAGTAAGACATTTAAGCAGGTCAACATTCACAAGGCCGCAGGGCCAGACGGATTACCAGGACGTGTACTCCGAGCATGTGCTGTCCAACTGGCAAGTGTCTTCACTGACATTTTCAACATGTCCCTGACTGAGTCTGTAATACCAACATGTTTCAAGCAGACCACCATAGTCCCAGTGCCCAAGGACTCTAAGATAACCTGCCTAAATGACTACCGACCCGTAGCTCTGACGTCTGTAGCCATGAAGTGCTTTGAAAGGCTGGTCATGGCTCACATCAACAGCATTATCCCAGAAACCCTAGACCCACTCCAATTTGCATACTGCCCCAACAGATCCACAGATGATGCAATCTCTATTGCACTCCACACTGCCCTTTCCCACCTGGACAAGAGGAACACCTACGTGAGAATGCTATTCATTGACTACAGCTCAGCATTCAACACCATAGTGCCCTCTAAGCTCATCACTAAGCTAAGGATCCTGGGACAAAACACCTCCCTCTGCAACTGGATCCTGGACTTCCTGACGGGCCGCTCCCAGGTGGTAAGGGTAGGTAACAACACATCTGCCACACTGATCCTCAGCACGGGGGCCCCTCAGGGGTGCGTGCTCAGTCCCCTCCTGTACTCTCTGTTCACCCATGACTGCATGGCCAGGCACGACTCCAACACCATCATTAAGTTTGCCGACGACACAACAGTGGTAGGCCTGATCACCGACAACGATGAGACAGCCTATAGGGAGGAGGTCAGAGATCTGGCCGTGTGGTGCCAGGACAACAACCTCTCCCTCAACGTGACCAAGACAAAGGAGATGATTGTGGACTACAGGAAAAAAAAGAGGACTGAGCACGCCCCCATTCTCATCGACGGGGCTGTAGTGGAACAGGTTGAGAGCTTCAAGTTCCTTGGTGTCCACATCACCAACGAACTATCATGGTCCAAACACACCAAGACAGTCGTGAAGAGGGCACGACAAAGTCTATTCCCCCTCAGGAGACTAAAAAGATTTGGCATGGGTCCTCAGATCCTCAAAAAATTCTACAGCTGCACCATCGAGAGCATCCTGACTGGTTGCATCACCGCCTGGTATGGCAACTGCTTGGCCTCCGACCGCAAGGCACTACAGAGGGTAGTGCGTACGGCCCAGTACATCACTGGGGCAAAGCTTCCTACCACTCGTCCACCGCAGGTGCCTCGATCTGGCTCTGATGCCAAGGTGCCAGGACCGGCTGATAACCTAATACACATTGGAACGGAGACAGGTTAGTAGAGGAGTGGCGGATGGAGTTCTGGGCTATCTCTGCCCAGGGGAGGTAAACCGACCACTCCCCCCGCTGGTCCTGGCAATACGACCTCAGAAACCTACCCACCTCCTGGTTGACTCTCTCCACCTGCCCGTTACTCTCGGGGTGAAATCCTGAGGTCAGACTGACCGAGACTCCCAGACGTTCCATGAACGCCCTCCAAACCCTAGAGGTGAACTGGGAACCCCGATCAGACACTATATCCTCAGGTACCCCGTTAGTGCCGGAAGACGTGTGTAAATAGGGCCTCAGCTGTCTGTAGGGCCGTAGGGAGACCGGGCAGCGGAATGAGGTGGCAGGACTTAGAAAACCGATCCACAACGACCAGGATCGGGGTGTTCCCTTGTGAGGGGGGAAGATCCGTCACGAAGTCCACCGATAGGTGGGACCATGGTCGTTGTGGAACGGGTAGAGGTTGCAATTTCCCTCTGGGCAGGTGTCTAGGAGCCTTACACTGGGCGCACACCGAGCAGGAGGAAACATAAACCCTCACGTCCTTAGCTAAGGTGGGCCACCAGTACTTCTCACTAAGACAGTGCACTGTCCGACCGATACCAGGATGACCAGAGGAGGGTGACGTGTGAGCCCAATAGATCAACCGATCGCGAACATCAAGCGGTACGTACACACGACCCTCTGGACACTGAGGATGAGTGGGTTCGTTGCGCAATGCCCGCTCGATCTCCGCGTCAACCTCCCACACCACCGGTGCCACCAGACTCCCCTCTGTGTCATACAGTCGGGACAGAGCATCTGCCTTAGCGTTCTGGGAACCTGGCCTGTAAGAAAGGGTGAAAACAAAACGGGTGAGAAACATGGACCACCTTGCCTGGCGAGGGTTTAACCTCCTCGCTGCCTGGATGTACTCCAGATTGCGGTGGTCAGTCAAAATGAGAAAAGGGTGTTTAGCCCCCTCAAGCCAATGTCTCCACGCTTTCAGAGCTTCGACCACAGCCAACAGCTCCCAGTCCCCCACATCATAGTTGTGCTCCGCCGGGCTGAGCTTCTTCGAAAAGAAGGCACAGGGGCGGAGTTTAGGTGGCATACCCGAGCGCTGAGACAGTACAGCGCCTATTCCAGCCTCGGACGCATCCACCTCAACCGTGAAGGCTAAAGAGGGGTCCGGATGAGCCAGCACTGGAGCCGAGGTAAACAGGTCTTTCAGATGACTAAAAGCCCTGTCCGCCTCCGCTGACCACCGCAGACGCACCGGCCCCCACTTCAGTAACGAGGTAATGGGAGCTGCTACCTGACCAAAGCCCCGGATAAATCTCCGGTAGTAATTAGCAAAACCCAAAAATCGCTGCACCTCCTTTACCGTGGTTGGAGTCGCCCAATTACGCACGGCCGAAATGCGGTCACTCTCCATCCTCACCCCTGACGCGGACATATGGTACCCCAAGAAAGAGATGGACTCCTGGAAGAACAGGCATTTCTCTGCCTTAGCATACAGGTCATGCTCCAACAGTCTTCCAAGCACCTTACGCACCAGGGACACATGCTCGGCCCGTGTAGCGGAGTATATAAGGATGTCATCAATATACACCACTACCCCTTGTCCGTGCAGGTTCCTGAAAATCTCATCCACAAATGATTGGAAAACTGAGGGAGCATTCATTAACCCGTATGGCATGACCAGATACTCAAAATGTCCAGAGGTGGTACTAAATGCCGTCTTCCACTCATCTCCCTCACGGATATGCACTAGGTTGTACGCGCTCCTGAGATCCAATTTAGAGAAAAAGCGTGCCCCGTGCAATGATTCCGTCATACTAGCTATCAGAGGTAATGGATAGCGGTACTTGATGGTAATCTGATTTAGGCCACGGTAATCAATGCACGGGCGTAACCCACCATCTTTCTTCTTCACAAAAAAGAAACTCGAGGAAACGGGTGAAGTGGATGGCCGAATGTATCCCTGCCTCAGAGATTCGGTGACATATGTCTCCATAGCCGCCTTCTCCTCCTGAGACAAAGGATACACGTGACTCCGGGGAAGTGCAGCTCCTACCTGGAGATTTATCGCACAATCCCCCGGACGATGGGGTGGTAATTTAGTCGCCCTCTTTTTACTGAAGACGATAGCCAAATCGGCATACTCGGATGGAATGTGCATGGTGGAAACCTGGTTTGGACTTTCCACCGAAGTTGCCCCCAAGGAAACTCCTAAACACCTCCCTGAACACTGACTGGACCATCCCTTGAGAGCCCTCTGTTGCCATGAAATCGTGGGGTCATGAATGGCTAACCAGGGAAGTCCCAACACCACAGGATGCGCAGGAGAATCAATCAGATAGAGGCTAATCCTCTCCTCATGACCCCCCTGCGTCATCATTAGCAGTGGAGCGGTGACCTCCCTGATTATGCCCGACCCTAACGGGCGACTATCTAATGCGTGAACAGGGAAAGGTTTATCAACAGACACTGTGGGAATCCCTAGGCTACGTGCATACTGGCGATCAATAAAATTCCCAGCCGCGCCTGAATCTACTAGCGCCTTATGCTGGGAATGGGGAGAAAATTCTGGAAGCATAATGTCGATACACATATTAGCAACAGGGAACTCTGAGTTAGTCAGGTGCCTACTCACCTGAGACGGTCGACCAGTGCTCTGCCTGCTGCCTCGACCTCCTGAGAACCCTCCCCTGCACCGATCAGCAGTGTGTCCTCTGCGGCCACACTTGGTGCAGGGGACAGTCTCTCTCCCAGTCTCCCTACCTGCAGCACCTCCGAGCTCCATGGGGGTATGCTCGGAGGTGCTGGGGGATGGAATGGACAGACCCCCATCAGAACGTCCGCGGGCTGCCAACAGGTTATCCAACCTGATGGACATGTCCACCAGTTGGTCCAGGTTGAAATTGGTGTCCCTGCAGGCCAGTTCCCGACGGACGTCCTCCCCTAAGCTACAACGATAGTGGTCGATAAGGGCCCGCTCATTCCATCCTGCGCTGGCTGCTAAAGTCTTAAACTGCAGCGCAAAATCCTGCGCGCTCCTCATCTCCTGTCGTAGGTGGACCAGACGTTCTCCCGCCGCTCTCCCCTCAGGTGGATGATCGAATACCGCCCGGAAGCGGCGGGTGAAATCCTCGTAGCGGACAGTTCTCGAGTCTATATTTCCCCACTCTGCGTTTGCCCACTCAAGCGCCTTCCCCAATAGACAGGAGATGAGGGCGGACACGCTCTCGTATCCCGAGGGCGCCGGGTGAATGGTGGCCAGGTAGAGCTCTACCTGGAGGAGAAATCCCTGGCACCTGGCAGGTGTAACGTCATATGTCCTCGGGAGCGAGAGCCGAATTCCCCTGGACCCAGGTGGCGAAGTGGTAGCCAGTGTAGCAGGTGGTGGTGTGGTTGGACATGGTGAAGGGATACCACCTCTCTCAATTCGCTCCATCATCTGGAACACTTGTTCCATCGTAGCACAGAGATTCTGGAGTATCGTCCCTTGACGTTGGACTCGTTCCTCCATCGTCTCGGTAGATCCAGTCGTTCCTGCTGACTCCATAGAGGTGCGTGTTTCTGTCACGGTGTCAGTGTATGCGGTAGACTGAAGTCAGGAGCAGGACACAGAACTCAAGGAAAAAATGTATCTTTACTAAATCACGTAAAGAAACAAGAAGCCTCCACGCAGGGAGGAATAAACCCGCTCACCAACGACATCCGAGAACAAACAACAAACACGCACAGAACACAATGGGAGCCACAGGGTTAAATAGGGGCGGAGTAATCACAAGATGGGCAACAGGTGTGAAACAATCTGACACAACAGGTAGAACATAGAAACATAGAACATAGATCGGCAGCAGCTAGTACTCCGGTGACGACGAACGCCGAAACCTGCCCGAGCAAGGAGGAGGGGCAGCCTCGGCAGAATCCGTGACACAAGCACTGGCCCTTAAGTATCAATGTCCTAGATTATGAGGTTGCTGGGTGTTACGTCAGTGTGATGTTGGTAGCCTCCTGCTAGGGATAAGATATGTTCATTGCAAGGCTGGCGACAAATCAATTGAAACCCTCACAATAACAAAATTGATACATTTTTAATTAATTGATTGTCTCTTATTTTGGCTGAATTCAAATGGTACTAATCCCGCCTCTGGTTGTTTGTGATTGAAAGGTACTGGGCGTCACTGAGGAACCTGGTGGTATCCCTGATGAATTCTATGAAGTCCATCATCAGCCTCATTTTCCTCCTCTTCCTCTTCATCCTGGTCTTTGCTCTGCTGGGCATGCAGCTCTTTGGTGGCAGGTACTGTACCGTAGAGACAAGGACAAACTACCATTGCATGTCTATCAGGTCAAGTCTAATCGCAACCTATGATGGATACTGGCAGTCGATGTAATCAAAGTGGATGTATTACAACTGATTGTTTGGTTTGTGTCATCATGCCGTCATACTTCTTGTGATAAATTAGATTTTACAGTGTACATTTTCATCCACTGTTGCACATTTCGAAACACCCTGACAGGGCTCAGTCTTGCCCTAGCAGATTCTGTCACACATCTAGTCTTAGCTGTTGTGCAGCTATGTTCCTACGGGTAAAGGACTGTTTCTGGGAAACTGTCACTTCAATGAATGCAGTGCATAGAGACGGATATTGCCTGGCCACTGGAATAGAGAAAAGAAAACAGACCTTGGAAAAAGTCACACTTCTATTATCCAGAAAAGTTTTCTCTCTCTGGGAAGAAAAAATAATTTAAAATCCTGGCTCAACTCGATGTCCTCTCTGTCTTCCTTTTTCAATGCAGGTTCATCTTTGAAGACTACACTCCTACAAACTTTGATACTTTTCCTGCAGCCATTATGACTGTATTTCAGGTCTGGCCCAACTCAATTGTTTTGATTGAGTAAAGTATTGTGTTTTTGATTTAGGAAGCGATCCGTACGATTGACAGGAATCAAAGCTTTGCATGTGGAAATCTTACATTGCACCTTGGATTGTCATGAACCTACAGATTATCTACATATATCTCCTGTCTGAATGCTGGGGTGTGTGGTATGCCTTATCTAGATCCTGACAGGAGAAGACTGGAATGAGGTGATGTACAATGGGATCCGCTCCCAGGGAGGAGTGAAGTCAGGAATGTGGTCCTCCATATACTTCATTGTGCTCACACTCTTTGGTAACTGTATCCTTTCTCAGACAGAAAATAACTTTCCGGACTGTAGATGTGAGATGTCTGATGTGTGGATTCTGTAGATTAAGGTCCTTGACATGACTGTGACCAGACACACTGTTGAATGTTTTCTTGGCCATCGCTGTGGACAATCTGGCCAATGCCCAGGAACTAACCAAGGTGAAATCTCCTTTCAAGAATGTACTAGTCTTCTCATAACTGAAGATGATAGCTGCTCTCAACAGCATCTGTGATTTTTTAAAATTCTGTTCTATGCAATCTTATATCTAGGTTGAAGAGGACGAAGAAGCTGCTTTCAATCAGAAACATGCGCTCCAGAAAGCAAAGGAAGTAGGGGCCATGTCTTCCCTGATGTCATCAGAGTAAGTTGTGTGGTTACCCCTGCTGCCTGTTCCCCTTCCTCTCTGTCTCCCTCAGGACTCTAACAGACTGCTAACTAACAGTACTAACACTGTGTAGTCTCACCAGGGGCTGCTGCTGCAGCACAGCCAACATTGAAGGACAGGAGGGATTGAGGCTGAGAAAGTTTCACTATGGGCAATTTTCTTACGTAGTGCTATGCCTTGGAATTAGGTTTTTGCAAATGGACAGGGAAATTTGTCTTGCAATGCATTAGAGCCCGAGGTTTGAGCTAGATTCGATTATAGTTTGTGTTACTGGTACATTATAGTTGATTTAGTTTGTTTTATCTAGGTACAGGCTACTGTACGTGGAGCTGTATTATGGAGCCCCAGACAGTCATAGAGCCCTTCATAATGACGTTCGTATCACCATGGCTACCAGCAGGCTTCCTAGTATCTGCAGGGATGAGCCTATACCGTCGTCATAGAGACAGCATTACTGGCATCCAAATTATTGTATCATTCCCATGAGAGAAATTTACTGCAGTACTTAGGCTCCTTCATTTTCACAAGACTGATTTTTTTGTAACCATTATGTTTTTAGAAGAATTACCAAGTATCAGGAAGGGTATGGGTTACATACATCTGGACATGCCATTTGGGTTACAAGAGACGAGTCATAAAGTAATGTTATTTAATCAAAGCTCACAATATTGATTTCCTATATGGATGGTCTGCCTCACCGAGCTTACAGGACTCCCAGTCTGTCTGGTGGAAATGCATGTACATGCGCATGGTGTAGCATAGAGAGAGAGAGTGTGCATGTTGGAAATGAACAGCATATTGCATGGGCATTCAAACCACATGAGCGGAAAAAGGCATTTTTAAATGTTACATGATTAAAAATGTTGGTCTCATGCTGTGCAGCATTAGTTCTCCTTGGCATTACGTTAGTACAGCAGGAGTAGATGTTAGTAGAGCTTTGGATGCTACAAATTTAACCAGTTCTATTCATTTCTTATGCAGAATTAACAAACATAATGTTCATCTAGATTTATCCAGGTTGAGGCATACGGATGGATCTGTGATTTTTGCAGGATACCTTAGTATAAACCATCTGACATATTCAGGGTCAGGCACTTGTCGAATCACATCGATGAGATTTAAATAGCATAGAGTTTCCCAGTGTCTGTGTTTGGAAAACAGTCAGAATTTTGGTTGCATTGCATCATGTCTGTGATGTTTGGGGTGAAATGCTGTGACCCGTCTTCCTTCCGGGGGCTCTTACACAACTGACCTTCAGAGCATGATGATGATGTTATTGACTAAGTGAATAGGGTTGCAGCTTGTCTGTGACTTCTGATACCGTAGACCTTTGGGGAGCGGAGGGTGCATGTCTCTCTCTGACCAGCATGACCAATGTGACCCTGGCACAACATTGGGGAGGAAATCTGCACACAAAATGCAAACTGATATTGGTTGCTTTGCCTAAACAATATGTCTCTGCTATGTTTGTGCCAATGAAGTCCATTTCTGTGTTTTATTCCTGTGCCATACTGTATCTCTGAATGTCTTTAACATTTCAAACTTCCTGAATATGTTATATGTTGCACCTGTTGATGTTGATGTTGTTCTTACTGTTCTAATACTGCTACCATCCTGTTTGTCATGTGGCGCTTTGCCTTCCTGGAGGCACACACCAAAACATTTAGGCATTATTCATTTGTTTGAATAATTATAAATAAGGATTATACTACCTGGTAATACAGAGAATAATTATTTTGTCTATACAGAAAAACAGTAGATTTATAGACTGATATTGGTCCACTCAAATTGACAATGGCCTCTGTAGAGTCTTGCGTTTTGGACTGTGTCTCAGGGTCTGTTTTGTCTCTGCTCACAAAAGCACTAATGTCTTGTTTTCAACCAATCGCTTATTGATAACACGGACCACACAAGAGTACAAGTACGAGTAAGTATTAACACTGTCTGTTCATTTCAATTTCAAAACAAACTGCCTGATTTTCTTAACTGGGTAAATGTTCTGTTCTCATTTTATTACATTCCTTGTTTTACTTCCATAATCTTACAGTATTTGGCTCTGCATTTTATATCAGTTCCACTGGTTTCTACATCTCCCACTTTCCTTATACTGTAGTTATTACAACTTCCTAGTTACATTTTGCTTAATTTACCACATAACATCTTCATTGATCCAGTAAATTGTTTTCCCTTATAAATGCTTAATTAGAATTCTGGATCTTATTTACCAAGCTTTGAAAATCAGACTGGATTGCCTTTTCTCGAATGTGTTCCAACTGCTCACTGGTTTTGTACAAATGTTTTATTTATAAGTGTATATTTCACAAACATTTGTACACAAGCAAGTAGAATAAATTCAAAAGCAATTCGAACACATTTTGGAATTGATTTCAAATGAAAAGTAGCGCTTACAGCATTCAGTGTATATCACTGTTATAGACAAGTACTGTGTTGCTATCTCCCTTACTGCTCATCCTGACAGTGTTGTTGTCCTCTCTCCCAGCAGGAGGAGGAGACCCTACCTGTACAGGAAAAGAGCAATACACAGGAGCCGGCCTGCCTACTCTCTGGAGAAGGCTGAGAGCCTCGCCGAGGGGCCCCCCTGCCCGCCACTGAATTCCTCTAACTCTTTCATGTCCAGGAGGGAGAGGAGTAGACGGATGACCATGTCTGTGTGGGAGCAGAGAACCAGTCAACTGCGCAGGCACCGGCAGATGTCCAGCCGAGAGATCCTCTTCAGCAGCCCCAGTGATGAGCAGGAAGCGCCCCCTGGCTGCCCCCACCACCTCAAAGCCACAGGCACACCCACAGGCAGCCTGAAGCTGGCTGATCCCACAGCTGACCCTACAGCCTTCACAGCTGAGCCCCCCAAGCCCATGGACATGCCCCTAGAGGAACCAGCCTTGTCCATGGGTGTTCCTGAGCCCCCCTTATCCAGCCCTTTAGCAGAGCCACCCATACCCACTGACACGCCCCTGCCTGACCCCCCCACGTCCACAGCTGTGTTCATACCGGAGCCTACAGAATCTGAGCCATGCCCCGAGGGCAAGCTTGGCATCCCCAACCACTGCCACCAAGGCCTCAATGGCCGCTGGAGCCCCAGGTTGAATCGGGAGAGAAGGCAGAGAGCGGTGCGTAAGTTCCGCCCTCCTGCTAGTGACACACTGACCACTGACATGGCAGGCATGAGGCTCAGGAGGCCACAGGGCACAGGGCACCGTGAGGCTCAGGCTGGGGCCAGAGGTCTGGACTCGCCTCAGTCGGAGGGCAGCAGTCGCTGTGTCAGCATGGAGAGGAAGACCCCAGAGGACCCAGTGGAGGAGGTGAGGAAAGACGGTAACGAGGGAGAAACCAGCCAGCCTTCTGAGACCAGGGAGGCTGAACACAGGTGAGGAAAAGCTCACACTGATATACAGCTAGTTCTGTTAGTTCAATACATAGTAGACTGTTTGTATAGTATTCTGTAGACTTTGTTTGTAAAGTGTTAATAGTCAATATTCTCCTATTTTCAATGTATCAGACTTCAGGGTGCCATTAATACAAATCCCCAGTGAATCCAGACTCAGAGCCTAGATGTTGTCCCTTGTCCCTCTGCTCCTCAACAGACAGGGGGACCCTGACCAGACTGGGGGTCCTGAGCTGCAGAACAGGGAGGAGGGTCCACAGTCAGAACCACCCACCCTGCAGCCATCTCAGGCTGCAGTACTGGAGCTACCAGAGGGACCCACAGGAGACAGTGAGACCGATAGCAACGCCACCACTCTGAATCAGTCCCCTCTGAGCTCCAGTATCGCCATCGAGGTGACCGATGTTCAGTTGTCACTAGAGCTCACCCCCATCACAGGTAAAATCATCAAGGGTGTCCTTATTCTATCACATAATTATTATGTACATTCAGTATACTCTAATCACATTCAAAATAGTTCTGCTGAGAGGTGTATGAAAACCTTGGGGGGTTGGAGATACAGTGCATTCTGAAAGTATTCAGACCCCTTGACCTTTTCCACATTTTGTTACATTACAGCCTTATTCTAAAATTGCTTAAATTGTTTTTTTCCTAATCAATCTACAGTGAGGGAAAAAAAGTATTTGATCCTGTGCTGATTTTGTACGTTTGCCCACTGACAAAGAAATGATCAGTCTATAATTTTAATGGAAGGTTTATTTGAACAGTGAGAGACAAAATAACAACAAAAAAATCCAGAAAAACGCATGTCAAAAATGTTATGAATTGATTTGCATTTTAATGAGGGAAATAAGTATTTGACCCCCTCTCAATCAGAAAGATGTCTGGCTCCCAAGTGTCTTTTATACAGGTAACGAGCTGAGATTAGGAGCACACTCTTAAAGGGAGTGCTCCTAATCTCAGTCTGTAACCTGTATAAAAGACACCTGTCCACAGAAGCAATCAATCAATCAGATTCCAAACTCTCCACCATGGCCAAGACCAAAGAGCTCTCCAAGGATGTCAGGGACAAGATTGTAGACCTACACAAGGCTGGAATGGGCTACAAGACCATCGCCAAACAGCTTGGTGAGAAGGTGACAACAGTTGGTGCAATTATTCGCAAATGGAAGAAACACAAAATAACTGTCAATCTACTTCGGCCTGGGGCTCCATGCAAGTCCTCACCTCGTGGAGTTGCAATGATCATGAGAACGGTGAGGAATCAGCCCAGAACTACACGGGAGGATCTTGTCAATGATCTCAAGGCAGCTGGGACCATAGTCACCAAGAAAACAATTGGTAACACACTACGCCGTGAAGGACTGAAATCCTGCCGCGCCCGCAAGGTCCCCCTGCTCAAGAAAGCACATATACAGGCCCGTCTGAAGTTTGCCAATGAACATCTGAATGATTCAGAGGAGAACTGGGTGAAAGTGTTGTGTTCAGATGAGACCAAAATCGAGCTCTTTGGCATCAACTCAACTCGCCGTGTTTGGAGGAGGAGGAATGCTGTCTATGACCCCAAGAACACCATCCCCACCGTCAAACATGGAGGTGGAAACATTATGCTTTGGGGGTGTTTTTCTGCTATTGGGACAGGACAACTTCACTGCATCAAAGGGACGATGGACGGGGCCATGTACTGTCAAATCTTGGGTGAGAACCTCCTTCCCTCAGCCAGAGCATTGAAAATGGGTCGTGGATGGGTATTCCAGCATGACAATGACCCAAAACACACGGCCAAGGCAACAAAGGAGAGGCTCAAGAAGAAGCACATTAAGGTCCTGGAGTGGCCTAGCCAGTCTCCAGACCTTAATCCCATAGAAAATCTGTGGAGGGAGCTCAAGGTTCGAGTTGCCAAACGTCAGCCTCGAAACCTTAATGACTTGGAGAAGATCTGCAAAGAGGAGTGGGACAAAATCCCTCCTGAGATGTGTGCAAACCTGGTGGCCAACTACAAGAAACTTCTGACCTCTTTGATTGCCAACAAGGGTTTTGCCACCAAGTACTAGGTCATGTTTTGCAGAGGGGTCAAATACTTATTTCCTTCATTAAAATGCAAATCAATTTATAACATTTTTGACATGCGTTTTTCTGGATTTTTTTGTTGTTATTCTGTCTCTCACTGTTCAAATAAACCTACCATTAAAATTATAGACTGATCATGTCTTTGTCAGTAGGCAAACATACAAAATCAGCAGGGGATCAAATACTGTTTTCTCTCACTGTACACACAATACCCCACAATGACAAAGCAAACACAGGTTTTTAGAAAGGTTTTCAAATTTATAAAAAATGAAAAAATGAAATATCACATTTACATAAGTATTCAGACCCTTTACTCAGTACTTTGTTGAAGCACCTTTGGCAGCGATTACAGCCTCAAGTCTTCTTGGGTATGATGCTGCAAGCTTGGCACACCTATATTTGGGGAGTTTCTCCCATTCTTTTCTGCAGATCCTCTCAAGTTCTGTCAGGTTGGATGGGGAGCGTCGCTGCACAGCTATTTTCAGGTCTCTCCAGAGATGTTCTATTGGGTTCAAGTCTGGGCTCTGGAAGGGCCACTCAAGGACATTCAGAGACTTGTCCCAAAGCCACTCCTGTATTGTCTTGGCTGTGTGCTTAGGGTCGTTGTCCTGTTAGAAGGTAAACCTTCGCCCCAGTCTGAGGTCCTGAGCGCTCTGGAGTAGGTTTTCATCAAGGATCTCTCTGTACTTAGCTCCGTTCATCTTTCCCTTGATCCTGACTAGTCTCCCAGTCCCTGCCGCTGAAAAATATCCCCACAGCATGATGTTGCCACCACCATGCTTCACCGTAGGGATGGTGCCAGGTTTCCTCCAGACGTGACACTTGGCATTCAGGCCAAAGAGTTCAATCTTAGTTTCATCAGACCAGAGAATCTTGTTTCTCATGGTCTGAGAGTCCTTTAGGTGCCTTTTGGCAAACTCCAAGCGGGCTGTCATGTCCCTTTTACTGAGGAGTGGCTTCTGTCTGGCCACTCTAGCATAAATTCTGATTTGTGGAGTGCTGCAGAGATGGTTGTCCTTCTGGAAGGTTCTCCCATCTCCACAGAGGAACTCTGGAGCTCTGTCAGAATGACCATCGGGTTCTTGGTCACCTCCATGACTAAGGCCCTTCTCCCCCAATTGTTCAGTTTGGCTGGGTGGCCAGCTCTAGGAAGAGTCTTGGTGGTTCCAAACTTCTTCCATTTAAAAATGATGGAGGTCACTGTGTTCTTTGGGACCTTCAATGCTGCGGAAATGTTTTGGTACCCTTCCCCAGATCTGTACCCCGACACAATCCTGTCTCGGAGCTCTACGGACAATTCCTGGCTTGGTTTTTGCTCTGACATGCACTGTCAACTGTGGGACCTTTCCAGATCATGTCCAATAATGTCCAATCAATTGAATGTACCACAGGTGGACTCCAATCAAGTTGTAGAAACATCTCAAGGATGATCAATGGAAACAGGATGCACCTGAGCTCTATTTCGAGTCTCATAGCAAAGTGTCTGAATACTTATGTAAATAAGGTATTTCTGTTTTTTATTTTTAGTACATTTGCAAACATTTCTAAAAACCTGTTTTTGCTTTGTCATTATGGAGTATTGTGTGTAGATTGATGAGGAATTTGTTTTATTTAAACCATTTTAGAATAAGGCTTTAATGTAACAAAATGTGGAAGAAGTCAAGGGGTCTGAATACTTTCCGAATGCACTGTACCCCTGATATCACAGAATGGTACCACAATCAGAGCAGCACACCCACACTCTCCACCTCTTCCAGGCAACAGTAAAGACGTGGAGGCATCCAAGCCTGAGAAGGACGAGGAGGAGGTGGCCAGCCCAGTCAATACTGTCACACCTGACAGCATGTTCATCTTCAAACCTGGCAACCCGTAAGTCTCCCTCTGCTCCTCTCTGCTCCTCCTATTACATCATCATCACCATCATCCTTACCATCATCTTAATACCATCATTCTCACCATCATCCTTACCATCATCTTAATACCATCATTCTCACCATCATCCTTACCATCATCTTAATACCATCATCCTCACCATCATCCTTACCATCATCTTATTACCATCATCCTCACCATCATCCTTACCATCATCTTAATACCATCATTCTCACCATCAAACACAGGCATGATAGAGATATAGAAACAAAACACCTGTTTCAGTCCTGCTCTGACAACTGTCTCTCTGTTTCTCAATCAGAGCGGTTGTGTCCTCTGTTCCCTCTCTAGAATCCGCCGGGCCTGTCACTATGTGGTGAACCTGCGTTACTTTGAGATGTGCATCCTGCTGGTAATCGCTGCCAGCAGTATCGCCCTGGCTGCAGAGGACCCCGTGTCAGCCACCTCCGACTGGAACAAAGTGAGAGCCAGTCTGGTCACTGGGCTTTACATGGACTCAACAGATGGCTGTTTTCCTCTCTGACCTTGAACCTCATTATTCTAACTGTCCTTCATTGTGGCTAGGCCATTGTCTTTGGTGTGTGATTGCTTTTGTTTGGCTTTGTTTTCCTCTGCTGTACTATCTTCTCACAGCATAACGTGAGTGCAAATGCACGCTCGTGACAGGGATTGTGCCTGCGTCTGTGCCTGATGCTGTCTCCGACAGGTATCGCTGATCTCACAGAGGGACAGTAATATTAGAGTTGTCCCTCTCTGCTCACACGGAGGAGCCAGATAGAGGAGAGGAGGGTGTTGAGGGGTGTAGAATCATCACATCACACTCCCTACCCCCGCCTCTGGTTTAGGCTCTTCATACAACAACAAATTAGACAGATAGCACAAACAGTGTCGATCTAGTACAATCTGGAATTATGCAGCATTCCTATTGTTGATGCCATTGTTTTGTACTTTGTTACAGAAGTTCCTTCTAGTAAAAACAAATAATTGGGAATGTGTTCCTGGGGTCTTATATCAGGCCCTGTACTAGCTGAGCAGCTGGAAGACTGAAAGAAAGCATTACGTTAATTGCTTTGTGAAGGTCTCCCATGGTGACTTGATGGGGGGGCTTCTCTGGATGTTGGTGGTTGAAGCAAATTGAGAAGTGAATGCAATGGGCCTTGTGACACGCTAAGAAGCTAATCAAAGCACATATCCATCAGCGGAGAAGGGCTCCACTTGAAAGCATCATCTTACAATGTCTGAAATAGAGATAGACTTGCCCTAGGTTCAACTTAATCAATGTGACCATTAAAGAGAGAAGTTGGTTTCCTAAAAGAGAAATATGTCCCCAGTTCAGCGGTGAAGAACAGATGCAACACATTAAACAAAAGCTCTCAGTCTCTCTCTGATCTTAAGTGCTCTTTGTTCTCCTCTAATGTATGAGCTGATGCTGATGGCAAGGAATGAAATGTTCTTCATCAAACCCTGGAGTCCAGTTTTGTAATTAATGAGTTCATATATTTGTCTACTTTTTACCCCACAGGTTTTGCGTTACTTTGACTACGTGTTCACAGGTGTCTTTACCTTTGAAATGATAATGAAGGTAAGTTATGACCTAATAGAACACAAATACAGTATTCTTTATTCAATCAGCAAGGATCCTGTATTAAAACATTACCAAACATATTGGCATGACATAGGGCATAGCCCCCTGTAGCTCAGTTGGTAGAGCATGGCGCTTGCAACGCCAGGGTTGTGGGTTCGATTCCCACGGGGGTCCAGTATGAAAAAATAAATAAATGATGCACTCACTAACTGTAAGTGGCTCTGGATAAGAGCGTCTGCTAAATGACATACTGTAGCAGATTCAGTTGGATTGGGCAGAAGGTACATGCACATGTTTGGCATAAACTGTTAGTCCCAAGAAAATGTTATGTCGGATAGACAGAATGTATAGTATTTAGCTAATTAACAGTGAGGCAAATGCAAATATTTAGCGGAGTTCTGTTTTCAAATAATTTAACAAGATGTCTATTTGTCAGATGATAGACCAGGGCTTGATTCTCCATGACGGCTCCTATTTCCGGGACCTGTGGAACATCCTGGACTTTATCGTGGTGGTCGGAGCTCTGGTGGCCTTCGCCCTCACGTGAGTCATGTGACCTTGCATAGGTTATAACTTCCTGGGTAGTGTACAGTACCAGTGTAGCATAGCACTGTTTTTCACTCCGTTTTGTGATATACATGTTACTTCCACCCTGAGATATACAGTGGGGAAAGTATTTAGTCAGCCACCAATTGTGCAAGTTCTCCCACTTAAAAAGATGAGAGAGGCCTGTAATTTTCATCATAGGTACACGTCAACTATGACAGACAAATTGAGAGATAAAAAATTCCAGAAAATCACATTGTAGGATTTTTTATGTATTTATTTGCAAATTATGGTGGAAAATAAGTATTTGGTCTCCTACAAACAAGCAAGATTTCTGGCTCTCACAGACCTGTAACTTCTTCTTTAAGAGGCTCCTCTGTCCTCCACTCATTACCTGTATTAATGGCACCTGTTTGAACTTGTTATCAGTATAAAATACACCTGTCCACAACCTCAAACAGTCACACTCCAAACTCCACTATGGCCAAGACCAAAGAGCTGTCAAAGGACACCAGAAACAAAATTGTAGACCTGCACCAGGCTGGGAAGACTGAATCTGCAATAGGTAAGCAGCTTGGTTTGAAGAAATCAACTGTGGGAGCAATTATTAGGAAATGGAAGACATACAAGACCACTGATATTCTCCCTCGATCTGGGGCTCCACGCAAGATCTCACCCCGTGGGGTCAAAATGATCACAAGAACGGTGAGCAAAAATCCCAGAACCACACGGGGGGACCTAGTGAATGACCTGCAGAGAGTTGGGACCAAAGTAACAAAGCCTACCATCAGTAACACACTATGCCGCCAGGGACTCAAATCCTGCAGTGCCAGACGTGTCCCCCTGCTTAAGCCAGTACATGTCCAGGCCCGTCTGAAGTTTGCTAGAGTGCATTTGGATGATCCAGAAGAGGATTGGGAGAATGTCATATGGTCAGATGAAACCAAAATATAAATTTTTGGTAAAAACTCAACTCGTCGTGTTTGGAGGACAAAGAATGCTGAGTTGCATCCAAAGAACACCATACCTACTGTGAAGCATGGGGGTGGAAACATCATGCTTTGGGGCTGTTTTTCTGCAAAGGGACCAGGACGACTGATCCGTGTAAAGGAAAGAATGAATGGGGCCATGTATCGTGAGATTTTGAGTGAAAACCTCCTTCCATCAGCAAGGGCATTGAAGATGAAACGTGGCTGGGTCTTTCAGCATGACAATGATCCCAAACACACCGCCCGGGCAACGAAGGAGTGGCTTCGTAAGAAGCATTTCAAGGTCCTGGAGTGGCCTAGCCAGTCTCCAGATCTCAACCTCATAGAAAATCTTTGGAGGGAGTTGAAAGTCCGTGTTGCCCAGCGACAGCCCCAAAACATCACTGCTCTAGAGGAAATCTGCATGGAGGAATGGGCCAAAATACCAGCAACAGTGTGTGAAAACCTTGTGAAGACTTACAGAAAACGTTTGACCTGTGTCATTGCCAACAAAGGGTATATAACAAAGTATTGAGAAACTTTTGTTATTGACCAAATACTTATTTTCCACCATAATTTGCAAATAAATTCATTAAAAATCCTACAATGTGATTTTCTGGAGAAAAAAAATTCTCATTTTGTCTGTCATAGTTGACGTGTACCTATGATGAAAATTACAGGCCTCTCTCATCTTTTTAAGTGGGAGAACTTGCACAATTGGTGGCTGACTAAATACTTTTTTTCCCCACTGTACATGTTCAGTATCCATGTTTTTCTCTCTGTCGTCCTCTGCTCCTGTGGATTGTGTTGCTGTGGGACTGCCAGGAATGTGCTGGGGTAAACACTTTCTTCACTTCCTTTCTTTCTGTTCTCTTCAACAGGAACCTATGTGTCCTCTATAGTTCATTACATACAGTGCCTTCAGAAAGTATTCATACCCCTTGACTTATTCCACATTTTGTTGTGTTACAGCCTGAATTCAAAATTGCTTTTTTTTCTCTCACCCATCTACACACAATATCCCATAAGGACAAAGTGAAAATGTATTGAAAATGAAATAGAAAAATATCTCATTTACAAAAGTATTCACACCCCTTTGCTAGGACACTCCAAATTGAGCTCAGGTGCATCCAATTTCCTTTGATCATCCTTGAGATGTCACTACAACTTTAGTGGAGTCCACCTGTGGCCATTTCAATTGTTTGGACATGATTTAGAAAGAAACATACCTGTTTATATACACTGAGTGTACAAAACATTAGGAACACCTGCTCTTTCCATGACATAGACTGACCAGGTGAATCCAGGTGAAAGGTATGATCCCTTATTGATGTCACCTGTTAAAATCCACTTCAATCAGTGTAGATGAAGGGGAGGAGACAGGTTAAAGAAGGATTTTTAAGCCTTGAGACAATTGAGACATGGATTGTGTATGTGTGCCATTCAGAGAGGGTGAATGGGCAAGACAAAATATTTAAGTGCCTTTGAACGGGGTATGGTAGTAGGTGACAGGCACACCGGTTTGACGGTGTCAAGACCTGCAATGCTGCTGGGTTTTTCACGCTCAACTGTTTCCTGTGTGCATTAAGAATGGTCCACCACCCAAAGGACATCCAGCCAACTTGACACAACTTTGGGAAACATTGGAGTCAACATGGGCTAGCATCCCTGTGGAACGCTTTTGACACCTTGTAGTCCGTGCCCTGACGAATTGAGGCTGTTCTGAGGGCAAAGGGGTGTGCAACTCAATATTAGTAAGGTGTTCCTAATGTTTTGTACACTCAGTGTAAGGTCCCACAGTTGACACTGCATGTCAGAGCAGAAACTATACCATGAAGTCCAAGGAACTGTCTGTAGATCTCCGAGATAGAATTGTGATGAGGCATGTATCTGGGGAAGGGGATAAAACAATGTCTAGAGTGTTGAACGTTTCCAAGACCACAGTGGTCTCCATGATTGGGAAATTAGAAAAATATGGAACTACCCAGACTCTGCCTAGAGCTGGCCGTCTGACCAAACTGAGCAACCGGGCAAGAAGGACCTTGGTCAGGGAGGTTATCAAGAACCCAATGACCACTCTGACAGAACTACAGAGTTCCTTGGCAAAGATGGGAGACAACAGTCCCTGCAGCACTTCACCAATCTGGACTTTATGTGAGACAGAGGCAGACGGAAGCCACTCCTGAGAAAAAGACACATGACTGCACGCCTGGAGTTTGCAAAATGGCACGTGAAATACTCTGAGAGCATAAGGCAAAACATTCTGTGGTCTGATAAGACAAAAATTTAACTCTTTGGCCTGAATGCAAAGCGCCAGGTACAGCTCATCACCTGTCTAACACCATCCCTACCGTGAAGCATGGTGGTGTCAGCATCATGCTTTTCAGCAGCAGGAACTGAGAGACTGGTAAGGATAGAGGGAACAATGAATGGAGCCAAATACAGGCAAATCCTTGATGAGAACCCGCTTCAGAGTGCAAACGACCTTAGACTGGGGGCGAAGATATACGTTCCAACAGGACAATGATCCCAAGCATACAGCCAAAGCAATGCTGGAATGGCTTCAGAACAAGAATGTGAAAGTCCTTGAATGGCCCAGCCAAAGCCCAGACTTGAATCCCATTGCAAATCTATAGAAAGACTTGAAGATTGCTGTTCACTGCCACTCCACATCTAACTTAATAGAGCTTGAGAAAATCTGCAAGGAAGAATGGGGAAAAATCCAGATGTGCAAAGCTGATACAGACATAGCCAAGACGACTCAAAGATGTAATCGCCACCAAAGATGCTTCTACAAAGTATTGACTCAGGGGTGTGAATACTTTGTTTCATTTTCAATAAATTAGCAAACATTTCTAAAAACTTGTTTTCACTTGGTCATTATGGAGTATTTTGTGTAGATGGGTGAGAAAAATAAATTTTGAGTTCAGGCTGTAACACAACAAAATGTTGAATAAGTCAAGGGGTATGAATACTTTATGAAGGCACTGTGCATATATCTTTCTAATCAGACATGTAAAACCTCTCCTGTAATAAGTAATATGGTTAGTTCAATGTTAGAGTGAGTTCAACAGGTCTTCATTCTACGTGTGTCTACTTGTAGAAATAATAAAGGACGGGACATCAAAACCATTAAGTCTCTTCGGGTGCTGCGCGTCCTGAGGCCCCTGAAGACCATCAAGAGACTACCGAAACTCAAGGTAACCCTTTTCGCAGAGATGACTTCCTATGTTAAGAGTGCCTGCTCCAGTCAACAGTCTGAGGGATAGACTACATGGGAGTTATATCAGGGTGTTCAGGGTTTATCAAAGCTGAGGTAATGTGTATGTGTGGTATGATGGTAACAGGTGAGGGCAGAAGCCACTGTTAAACAGATGGAGATTACTTTACATCCATTTAGTCACATCTGTTTCCACAAGAGGGTTTCCAGGAAGCAGAGAATCAGCCAGAGAGAAGATTGGGTGATAAACCTGAGCGTTTGAGCGTGAAAACATTTAGTCACAACTTGATTTCCCAAACTTCACACATCCAATTTCTGCTGCCGGGAAGAGTGTCTCTGTCAAACCTGGAGGAAATGAGTCAGACTGATAACTGTGTGAGTGAACCAGGATGTCAGTTAGTCAGGTGTCTCTCCCCCTCTTCAAAGGGGGTGAGACTCTAGATCCAAACTGTTACAGACCTATATCCATCCTGCCCTGCCTTTCGAAATTATTTGAAAGCCAAGTTAACAAACAGATCACCGTCCATTTCGAATCCCACCGTACCTTCTCCGCTATGCAATCTGGTTTCCGAGCTGATCATGGGTGCACCTCAGCCACGCTAAAGGTCCTAAACGATATTATAACTGCGATCGATAAAAGGCAGTACTTGAAGCCGTCTTCATCGACCTGGCCAAGGTTTTCGACCCTGTCAATCACTGCATTCTTATTGGCAGACTAAATAGCCTTGGTTTCTCAAATGACTGCCTCGCCTGGTTCACCAACTACTTCTCAGATAGAGTTCAATGTGTCAAATCGGAGGGCCTGTTGTCTGGACCTCTGGCAGTCTCTATGGGGGTGCCACAGGGTTCAATTCTCGGGCCGACTCTATTCTCTGTGTATATCAAAGATGTCGCTCTTGCTGCTGGTGACTCTCAGATCCACCTCTACGCAGACGACACCATTTTGTATACATCTGGCCCTTCATTGGACACTGTGTTAACAAACCTCCAAACGAGCTTCAATGCCATACAACACTCCTTCCATAGCCTCCAACTGCTCTTAAACGCTAGTAAAACTAAATGCATGCTCTTCAATCGAACGCTGCCCGACTAGAATCACTACTCTCGGCGGGTCTGACTTAGAATATGTGGACAACTACAAATACCTAGGTGTCTGGTTAGACCGTAAACTCTCCTTCCAGACTCACATTAAGCATCTCCAATCCAAAGTTAAATCTAGAATCTGCTTCCTATTTCGCAACAAAGCCTCCTTCACTCATGCTGCCAAACATGTCCTCGTAAAACTGACTATCCTACCGATCCTTGACTTCGGCGATGTCATTTACAAAATAGCCTCCAACAATCAGCAAATTGGATGTAGTCTATCACAGTGCCATCCGTTTTTGTCACCAAAGCCCCATATACTACACACCATTGTGACCTGTACACTCTCGTTGGCTGGCCCTCACTACATATTTATCGCCAAACCCACTGGCTCCACGTCATCTATAAATCACTGCTAGGCAAATCCCCGCCTTATCTTAATTCATTAGCTCATTGGTCACCATAGCAACACCCACCCGTAGTATGCGCTCCAGCAGGTATATCTCACTGGTCATCCCCAAAGCCAACACCTCCTTTGGCCGCCATTCCTTCCAGTTCTCTGCTGCTAATGACTGGAACGAACTGCAAAAATCTCTGAAGCTGGAGACTCTTATCTCCCTCACTAACTTTAAGCATCAGTTGTCAGAGCAGCTTACCAATCACTGCACCTGTACACAGCCCATCTGTAATTAGCCCACCCAACTACCTCATCCCCATATTGTTATTTATTTTGCTCATTTGCACCCCAGTATCTCTATTTGCACATCTTCTTCTGCACATCTATCACTTCAGTGTTAATACTAAATTGTAATTATTTTGCACTATGGCCTATTTATTGCCTTACCTCCATAACTTACTACATTTGCACACACTGTAAATATATTTTCTATTGTGTTATTGACTGTATGTTTTGTTTTATCCCATGTGTAACTCTGTGTTGTTGTTGTTTTTATCGCACTGCTTTGCTATATCTTGGCCAGGTCGCAGTTGTAATTGAGAACTTGTTCTCAACTGGCTTACCTGGGTAAATAAAGGTGAAATAAAAAAATAAAAAATAAAAAGGTGCTCCCGGGCAAACTGCAATCAATAGACCTGATTATCCTGGGACTGGAAAGTGAAATAAAGATATTCAGAATAATACAATCCTCTTCCAGTCAATCATGTAGCAACAACAGTTTGGGATCATTTTGGACAATTGTATGCTATTTATACCACTTGAGTTAGAAGTCACCCTCAACAAATCAGTAATTACAGATGTAGGATCTTAATTTGTGCCAGTTTGCTACAGCAGGAAAATAATCCTGCAGCAACAGGAAATGTGAATTATTACGTGGATTATAATTAATGAAAATGTTTGTAGGGGTTGATAAATTATTCGTTAGAGAAAATCACATCTGAAATTTCAATGTGGAAATTACAAACTTCAGAAGCCTTTTTAAACCTTTAATACACTACAAGTGTTAAATGTCCTCCTGCAACAGGGTGATCAAATTAAGATCCTACATCTGTAACTGGACGAAAGCTAAACCCCTACAATTTTAGCATATCACTCACTTTCATTGACTTTTTTTTTCAATTGCCCTCCCTCGTGCTTCGTCCTCTGTCTGTGTGTAGGCAGTGTTTGACTGTGTGGTGACCTCGCTGAAGAACGTCTTCAACATCCTCATCGTCTACAAGCTCTTCATGTTCATCTTCGCTGTCATCGCTGTGCAGCTGTTCAAGGGGAAGTTCTTCTACTGCACCGACGGATCCAAAGACACAGAGAAGGACTGCCAGTAGGTGTCTGCTGAGCTGCCTGCATAGGGCCTTACAGAACACTAACATAGTTGAGGTGGATGGAGACCTATTGGAGACCTACAGTATTGTCATGTTTTCTACTGTTTCTTTGTCCACTGAATGTCTATTGTACACTGTGTGTCTGTCTCCACCTATCAGAGGCTTCTACATCGACTATGAGAAAGACAAGAAGGAGGTGAAGAGGAGGGAGTGGAGGAGACATGACTTTCACTATGACAACGTAGTCTGGGCCCTACTCACTCTGTTCACCGTCTCCACTGGGGAGGGCTGGCCACAGTAAGTCTCACTCTTTCCATACACACTATTCACTATGTCACAACTGTACGTAGGCTAGACTGAAATATGCTTCAGAATGTCAGTGTAGGTGTCCAGTGCTGAGCACAGTGTGATCTGCGTCTTTGTCCAGGGTCCTGCAGCACTCTGTGGACGTGACAGAGGAGGACAGAGGACCAAGCCAGGGCAACAGGATGGAGATGTCAATCTTCTATGTCATCTACTTTGTGGTCTTCCCCTTCTTCTTTGTCAACATCTTCGTGGCTCTCATCATCATCACCTTCCAGGAGCAGGGAGACAAGATGATGGAGGAGTGCAGCTTGGAGAAGAATGAGGTGATGGGGTCACACACCCACACTTTACGCAGAATCCTCAACCAAACCAAATGGAACATAGACATTCCATCTGAAATGTAGACTTTCAAGTGATAACATACAACACACCATCAGTGTATGTGTTAGTGATGTGGTTTGCTGGTGGAATGTAGCACACACATCAAAATGACCCCGTCTGTGCTTTTAGACTTAACTTGCTCAGTCTTGACAGGTGATTATGCAGAGGAGCACACTGGCTTATGGAAAACGCCTGGTAAATATACAGGAATAGTGAGAGTTCCCTTCCAGACACACAAACTCTCCCAGCAGGTATCCCTCAGCCGATACTGACCAGAATGTTCCCAGCAGTCCATATAGCAATGTGTCAACTTCAAGGATAAAATATAAGGACTTTCCCAGAGCTAGCTGCTACATACCGTACTTATTCCCAGGCTGTTTCCTGCTAAATAAAATGTTCTTCAACTTTCTTTCTTGTGTGCTTTTCCTTACAGAGGGCTTGCATTGACTTTGCCATAAGTGCCAAACCCCTGACCCGCTACATGCCCCAGAACAGACAGACGTTCCAGTATCGCCTCTGGCACTTTGTGGTCTCCCCCTCCTTTGAGTACACCGTGCTGGCCATGATTGCACTCAACACCATTGTCCTGATGATGAAGGTGTGGATAATGATCGCATACAAACAATACATTAATTTACATCTTGTTCATTATCTCTAATGTACAACCTAACCCATACGCTGAAGTAATCCCATTTATAAAGGCTAATAGCAGTCCCTGTGGTGCAGAAGGTATTATGGAGCCTGTTGCTGTAGCTCAGGGGTGTCAAACATCCAGCCGAATGTGGCCCCCGGGGCAAAATGAATGTGACACCTCTGCTGTAGTTGATTGGGTTGTGAGATGCATGTCCCTCTACCTTGGGCTGGGCTCTAGCTAACGGTCTGGGATATTTCCATCCCTGTGAGCATTTCATTTATTCCAAGAAAAAGCCTTCAGTCAGACAGAGGGAGAGAGCCATCAGACAGAGCATAGGATGACTCAGCCTTTATTAAATATTGATCTAAATCTACCTGCTTGTATTTAACATCATTAACTCTGCCTGTACAACTCAGATGAATAATTCATTTTAGCCTCAGCTCAGCTCAATGTTACGCTATTTACGTATCAGAGGGAATCTGCCATGAACCTGTGGCTATAGTTCTACAGTTGTATGGTGGTTGAGCAAGATGCTGTGTGTTTGGGTTCATTGTGTCATTTTGGGTTATCTGTGCATCCAAGTAATTTGGGGTCATTCCAATTGTGTTTAATGGTGTCTCTCTCTTTCGCTCTCCTATGTGGTGGTAGTATTACTCAGCCCCACCAATGTACGAGGCTGTGCTGAAACACCTGAACACAGCCTTCACTGTGCTCTTCTCTGTGGAGTGTGTCCTCAAGATCATGGCCTTTGGCTTTCTGGTGAGGAACGAGTTTAAACCAACAGATGTAGGATCTTAATTTGATCACTCTTTTGTTGCTGAGACTTTTCCTGCATGGCAGGAAATGCAAACTTGTAGTGTATTTGAGTTTTAAAAAGGCTTCTAAAGTTTGTAATTTCAGACTTGATTTGCCCTAACGAAAAATGCATCAACCCCTACAAAAATGTCCATTAATTAGAATCCACATGTTGCTCAGGATTATTTACCTATTGTAGCAAACTGGCTCAAATTTTGATCCTACATCTGTACTGCCCATAACATCATGATTTGATACTGTGTGCAATGCTACTAACATCTACTGAAGAATGGATGTTTTCCGCTCTTTTCCAGAACTACTTTCGAGACACTTGGAATATATTTGACTTCATCACGGTTTTGGGCAGCATCACAGAGATAGTGGTAGACCTGCAGGTAAAAAAGCATGACTGAATATCAATAAATGGCTGATTGCATTGCCATTTCTATACAGTGTACTGTAAATAAACTGTATACATAGTGCTAGTGTTGCTCTCATCTCCCTTTAGTCAATTGAGACCTTCAACATGGGTTTCCTGAAGCTGTTCCGAGCTGCTCGACTAATCAAGCTGTTGAGGCAGGGCTACACCATCCGCATCCTGCTCTGGACCTTTGTCCAGTCCTTTAAGGTCAGCTCCACTCACATTACAGTACAGCACTGGAAAGAGACACTTGATACTGAAGCCAGGTGTGTGTGTGTTACGTCTGGTACTGTTACTGTATCATGACATAGGGTTTCTCTTTCAGGCTCTCCCCTACGTCTGTCTGCTCATTGCCATGCTCTTCTTCATATATGCAATCATCGGAATGCAGGTAAGGTGTTGCTCACACCCTTGGTCTATTCTGCCACTTTTTGGTTCGTCATTGCATGGTGTGAATGTGTCGATTCTGCATACAGCACTGAGTCAACACATATCTCTATTCATATACTGTCCATACTGTCTACACACACCATTATATACTGAACAACAATATAAACGCAACATGCAACAATTTCAACGATTTTACTGAGTTACAGATCATATAAGGAAATCAGTCAACTGAAATGTATTCATTAGGCCCTAATCTATGGATTTCACATGACTGGGCAGGGCCCAGCCAATCAGAATACGTTTTTGCCCACAAAAGGGCTTTATTTATTTATTACAGACAGAAATCCTCAGTTTCATCAGCTGTCTGGGTGGTTGGTCTCAGACGATCCCGCAAGTGAAGAAGCCGGATGTGGAGGTCCTGGGCTGGCGTGGTTACATGTGGTCTGCGGTTGTGAGGCCGGTTGGACGTACTGACAAATTCTCTAAAACAACGTTGGAGGTGGCTTATGGTAGAGAAACGAACATTCAATTGTCTGGCAACAGCTCTGGTGGACATTCCTGCAGTCAGCATGCCAATTGTACGCTCCCTTAAAACATGAGACATCTGTCCCCAGCGCATGGTGCACCTGTGTAATGATCATGCTGTTCAGGTGGATGGATTATCTTGGCAAAGGAGAAATGTTCACTAACAGGGATGTAAACAAATTTGTACACATTTGTGCGTATGGAAAAGTTCTGGGATCTTTTATTTCAGCTCATGAAACATGGGACCAACACTTTACATGTTGCGTTCATATTTTTGCTCAGTATATACACTGTATATATATATATATATATATATATATATATATATATATATATACAGTACCAGTCAAAAGTTTGGACACACCTGCTCATTCAAGGGTTTTTCTTTATTTGTACTATTTTCTACATTGTAGAATAATAGTGAAAACATCAAAACTATGAAATAACACATATGGAATCATGTAGTAACCCAAAAAGTGTTAAACAAATCAAAATATATTTTATAATACAAATATAGCCACCCTTTGCCTTGATGACAGCTTTGCACACGCTTGGCATTCTCTCAACCAGCTTCATGAGGTAGTCACCTGGAATGCATTTCAATTAACAGGTGTGCCTTCTTAAAAGTTAATTTGTGGAATTTCTTCCCTTCTTAATGCGTTTAAGCCAATCAGTTGTGTTGTGACAAGGTAGGGGGGGTGTACAGAAGATAGCCCTATTTGGTAAAAGACCTAGGCCAGCTCAAATAAGCAAAGAGAAATGACAGTCCATCATTACTTTAAGACATGAAGCTCAGTCAATACGGAACATTTCAAGACCTTTGAAAGTTTCTTCAAGTGCAGTCGCAAAAAACATCAAGCGCTATGATGAAACTGGCTCTCATGAGGACCGCCACAGGAATGGAAGACATTTTTTACATTTTAGTCATTTAGCAGACGCTCTTATCCAGAGCGACTTACAGTTAATGAGTGCATACATTTTTCATACCCACAACACTGCCGTTGCAAGCGCCATGCTCTACCAACTGAGCTACAGGAGGCCCCCAGAGTTACCTCTACTGCAGAGAATAAGTTCATTGGAGTTACCAGCCTCAGAAATTGCAGCCCAGATAAATGCTTCATAGAGTTCAAGTAACAGACACATCTCAACATCAACTGTTCAGAGGAGACTGTGTGAATCAGGCCTTCATGGTCAAATTGCTGCAAAGAAACCACTACTAAAGGACACCAATATGAAGAAGAGACTTGCTTGGGCCAAGAAACACGAGCAATGGACATTAGACCGGTAGAATTTGTCCTTTTGTTTTGGTTGCAACCGCCGTGTCTTTGTGAGACGCGGTGTGGGTGAACAGATTATCTCTGCATGTGTATTTCCCACTGTAAAGGAAGAGGTGTTATGGTGTGGGGGTGCTTTGCTGGTGAAACTGTCTGTGATTTATTTAGAATTCAAGGCACACTTAACCAGCATGGCTACCACAGCATTCTGCAGCGATACGCCATCGCATCTGGTTTGGGCTTAGTGGGACTATCATTTGTTTTTCAACAGGACAATGACCCAACACACCTCCAGTCTGTGTAAGGGCTATTTGACCAAGAAGGAGAGTGATGGAGTGCTGCATCAGATGACCTGGCCTCCACAATCCCCCGACCTCAACCCAATTGAGATGGTTTGGGATGAGTCGGATCGCAGAGTGAAGGAAAAGCAGCCAACAAGTGCTCAGCATATGTGGGAACTCCTTCAAGACTGTTGGAAAAGCATTCCAGGTGAAGCTGGTTGAGAGAATGCCAAAAGTGTGCAAAGCTGTCAAGGCAAAGGGTGACTATTTGAAGAATCTCAAATATAAAATATAGTTTGATTTGTTTAACACTTTGTTGGTTGCTACATGATTCCATATGTGTTATTTCATGGTTTTGATGTCTTCACTATTATTCTAGTAAAAATTAAGAAAAAACCCTTGAATGAGTAGGTGTGTCCAAACTTTTGACTGGTAGAGTATATATATATATATTCCGGACTCTGACATTGCTCGTTCTGATATTTCTGATATATATTTTTTGTGTGTGGGGGGGGATTTGTGTGTATTGTTTTGTATTGTATTACTGCACTGTTGGAGCTAGAAACATAGGCATAACACGTGTACACGACCCAAGAAATGTGATTTGATTCAATTTAAATATTCCTCAAGGTTTTTGGAAACATCAGACTGGATGAGGAGACTCACATCAACCAACACAACAATTTCAAGACCTTCTTTGGTGCTTTGATGTTGCTATTCAGGTACGGTAGGATATCCTTCATGTGTCACACAGTGGCTAAATGGGGCTCAGTCACTGAACAACACACTGCTGTCTGCCTGCAGGAGTGCCACGGGGGAGTCGTGGCAGGAGATCATGCTGTCGTGTTTAGGGGGGCAGAAGTGTGAGCCAGACCCCTTAGCTCTAACGTCAGACCATGAGGAGCGCTGTGGAACTGAGTTTACCTACTTCTACTTTGTCTCCTTCATCTTCTTCAGCTCATTTCTGGTAAGAGTCCTACTCTAAGAGTCCTACTGTCCTACTCTAAGAGTCCTACTCTAGGAGACCGTCTCTTACCAGAAATGAGAGGAAGAAGTTGAAGGAGACACTTACATGCATACATATTAACCTTCATACACACCTATTGTAGTTCCTTGTCTATGACCTCCTCTAATCACTGTTCAGATGCTGAATCTGTTTGTGGCTGTGATAATGGACAACTTTGAGTACCTAACCCGGGATTCCTCCATCTTGGGGCCTCATCATCTGGATGAGTTTGTTCGTATCTGGGGTGAATATGACCGAGCTGCTTGGTAAGTCAGAGGCCCAACAACAAAAACTAACACATACAAAGTAGCAGCACAGCACACGTTATACAGCATGTCATTATATGTAGGAATTATTTACTACTTTACAGTTATTCTAATGTTTCACCCAACTACTTACAGAAACCACCATATGGCCTTCAAGTCCAAAACATTTCACAATGTGAATAGTATTGCATATTTGGCTAATTGCTGTCCGATATGTCCTGATGCTCTGCTCTCCAGGTCCTTGTTAGGACAATGGTGGCAATCCAGCTCTAGTAAACTCCAGCAAAGCTGAATCTCTGTGTTTATTGTTAACTACAGAAATGTATGTTCTTTCCAGTGGAAGGATTCACTATAAGGAGATGTACACAGTTGTACGCACTATTTCCCCTCCCCTGGGCTTTGGAAAGAACTGCCCCTACTCCGTGGCCTGCAAGGTTTGGCTCCCCCACCACTACTCCACTATCCCTCGCTCCCTTAACCCCCTCCTACCGTTGGGACCTTCCTCTGCCCCCTACCATTCCTTAACCCCCTCCTACCGTTGGGACCTTCCTCTGCCCCCTACCATTCCTTAACCCCCTCCTACCGTTGGGACCTTCCTCTGCCCCCTACCATTCCTTAACCCCCTCCTACCGTTGGGACCTTCCTCTGCCCCCTACCATTCCTCTCCACCAATTTTCACTACCCCTCTAAGGCCTGCTTGCACTGCTGTAGTGGGACCGCTCTGGCTCTGCTCCAGGCAAAAGAATGACTGGGCTATGGCTTCAGGATACAAAGAGACAGGTCATCCTCTAGCATGCAGACAATATCATTATGCACTTCATGCTGTAGATGCAGAGCAATGAACTATTGGAACATTTAGTGTAACTAACAACTACACAAAACCAGTGTGCTGATTCATGTGACACTCTGTCTCTCTGTGGCTGGTTGGATCTGGTACCTCTGATTTAGTTGACTGGTTATAGTAGAATCATGAGAAGGGTTATAGTGGGACCTACTGTAAGTCCATCCCTGACAGCACTCAGCAGTAACGTTGCAGGTTTAGGATGCCAGGTAAGTGTCTGCCAGAACCACAGAGGACCCTGCTGTCATTCTCTGGTCTTTGATTTTAGATTTCTTCCTCTCCCTCTTTTCTATGCCAAGTCTGCACAGAAAGACCACAACCTGATTTAATCCTTTCTGTGAAATGCCATTGAATAACCCTCTTTCTGATATCTCTTCCTTTTTTAAATATTATTTTCTTCCTCCATTCCTTGGGAATGCCTTCCCTGCCCTTCCTTCTCCTCTTCCTCCTTGTCATCTGCCCTGCTCCCTGCCTCCTCCCCAGCGGGCGTATTCATTACACTGACATGTACGAGATGCTGACTGACATGTCGCCACCTCTAGGCCTCGGCAAGAAATGTCCCTCCAAAGTGGCTTATAAGGTAGACCAAAGACAACTAGGCAACATTTCTACATTAGGTCAATGGAGAAGGCAAAGTAAAACCTTGCCCTCTGTGGCATATACCCAATTCCAAATGAAGTGTGGAAATTGGCTGTTGTTTATCGTATCGTAATGTGTCGCTTGTCGAATTGTAAGAGAATTCGCGATGGTGTTTTTTGATTGGCAGATGACAATACGTACAGTAAAAATAAATAAGCATTGTGCTTTGGTGTTTTATTTTTTGTATTGATTTGCATCTTGGCAGAGAACTGACTGAGTAATGTTTTGTGTGTTTAAGAGCTGTTTGTGGAATAACTGGTCTTCAGGGTCAGTAAGAATGCTTTGGTTTTGAAGCGGGTGCAAAAAGCTGACATGTATTTCATAGAGCCACACTGTACAGTGTCAGAATGTCAAACAATCTTTCTCAATCACTGTTGCTTGATTACTTCCTCTATCTATACCCTTGCCCTCTGTACAATGGCAGAAATGAAACTACCCTCTTTGTGCATGCTGTGTTGTGAGTCTCTTGGCTGTTGTTACAATGTCATTATTATTAGAGAATTGTGTTATTATAACATGCATTTATAATCCTTAGATTGTAAGTTTAGCTTGAACACCATCAAGTAGTAGAGACTTGTATACAGTATTACTGTAAGGCATAGATGGTTAACTGAGCTCCTCTTGCTGGCAACATGTTGTCTCCTGGTTAGTGAGTAATATTTGCTTTGCTCCCCCCTTTTTCCCTTCCATGGACACCCTCAGAGGCTGGTGCTGATGAACATGCCCGTGGATGAGGAGATGTCTGTTCACTTCACCTCCACCCTCATGGCCCTGATCCGAACTGCCCTGGAGGTCAAAATAGCCAGAGGTCAGGCGCTAATATGTTAAATAACTGAACATGAACAACTCTCTGAACTTGTTGTTCTTCTCAACTTTCTCCACACACTGTTGACCAACTGCCTCCATGAGCACCTGCTGCATGCTTTATCTCCTGTTGTTGTGGTGGTGGTTCCAGGAGGGGAGGACAGGGGGCAGATGGATTCAGACCTACAGAAGGAGATCAGTGTCATCTGGCCACACCTTTCTCAGAAGACGCTAGACCTGCTCGTCCCCATCCACAAAGGTGACAGTAAGAATGTATAGTACCTCTGGCATTAGTCAATGTAATTGAACTATTTACTATAGTAGTTTTGGTTTTCAAAGAATTCCAAATGAGTGACATTATGCCATTTGTTCTTCCAGCCAATCATATGACCATTGGGAAGATCTACGCAGCCATGATGATCATGGACTACTACAAGCAGAGCAAAGCCAAGAAGCTCAGGCAACAGCTGGAGGAGCAGGTATACCTCTATGTACAGTATGAAACCATGGCCTCTGAAGAGTAGTCTGCATACTCTCATACTGTATCTGTTTCATCCTCATCCCCTATAGAAACACGCTCCCATGTTCCAGCGTATGGACGCATCCTCTCTGCCTCAGGACATCCTCTGCAGTGCCAAAGCCCTCCCCTTTATGACCCACAGCGCTGGATCTGCCCTGTAAATATGCTTTTTGACTCCTAAAGTCCCCAAGCCTGTGTGTGCGTGTGGGTACACGTACGTTAATAGATGTGTGTGTTCATCCTAGATAGGCATGCCGGGCACCGTTGGCGTGGACGTCGATTAAGGCAGCCCCCGCACCTCTCTGATTCAGAGGGGTTGTGTTAAATGCGGAAGACACGTTTCGGTTGAATGCATTCAGTTGTACAACTGACTAGGTATCCCCCTTTCCCTTTCCCTCTCTGAATGTCTGTCTGTCTTATCTGTTCCATCAGGACCAGAGGAGGTTTTGTGGCCTTGAGTCCCATCTCCCCCCAGGAGATGTTCATGCAGCCCATGTCCCAGGACCTGGAGGACAAAGAGGAGGACTACCACCACTATCACCACCACCACCACCAACTCCACCACCAGCTCCACCACCAGCTCCACACTCTGGTAAGGACTAGGTCTCAGGTACTGTAACACCCCCAGAAACACACTCACTCAACGCAGTAATCAAATCAAATCAAATTAAAAGGATAGTTCACCAAAATAAAAAAATGACATGTTGATTTCCTTAGCAGTGTATGTATATTGAACAAAAATATAAACGCAACATGTAAAGTGTTGGTCTCATGTTTCTTGAGCTGAAACAAAAGATCCCAGAAATGTTCCATAATCACAAAAAGCTTATTTCTCTCAAATGTTGTGCACAAATTTGTTTACATCCCTGTTAGTGAGCATTTCTCCTTTACCAAGATAATCCATCCACCTGATAGGTGTGGCATATCAAGAAGCTGATTAAACAGCATGATCATTACACAGGTGCACCTTGTGCTGGGGACAATAAAAGGCCACTGTAAAATGTGCAGTTTTGTCACACAATACAATGCCACAGATGTCTAAAGTTTTGAGGAAGCATGCAATTGGCATGCTGACTGCAGGAATGTCCACCAGAGCTGTTGCCAGAGAATTTAATGTTAATTTCTCTACCATCAGCTGCCTCCAATGTCGTTTTAGAGAATTTGGCAGTACGTCCAACCAGCCTCACAACCGCAGACCATGTGTATGGCGTTGTGTGGGCGAGCGGTTTGCTGATGTCAACGTTGTGAACAGAGTGCCCCATGGTGGCGGTGGGGTTATAGTATGGGCAGGTATAAGCTAAGGACAACAAACACAATTGCATTTTATCTATGGCAATTTGAATGCACAGAGATACTGTGACGAGATCCTGAGGCCCATTGTCTTGCCATTTATCCGCCGCCATCACCTCATGTTTCAGCATGATAATGCACGGCCCCATGTCACAAGGATCTGTACACAACTCCTGGAAGCTGAAAATATCCCAGTTCTTCCATGGCCTGCACACTTACCAGCCATGTCACCTATTGAGCATGTTTGGGATGCTCTGGATCGACGTGTACGACAGCATGTTCCAGTTCCCGCCAATATCAAGCAACTTCGCACAGCCATTGAAGAGGAGTGGGACAACATTCCACAGGCCACAATCAACAGCCTGATCAACTCTATGCGAAGGAGATGTGTCGTGCTGCATGAAGCAAATGGTGGTCACACCAGATACTGACTGGTTTTCTGATCCATGCCCCTACCTTTTTTAAGGTACCTGTGACCAACAGATGCATATGTGTATTCCCAGTCATGTGGAATCCATAGATTAGGGCCTAATGAATTGATTTCAATTGACTGATTTCCTTACATGAACTGCTAGTCAGTAAAATCTTTGAAATTGTTGCATGTTGCGTTTATATTTTTGTTCAGTGTACAAGGTATGACAGCAATCTATCCTTTGGTATAGTTTCCCTGGCAGTGGCTCGCACTGTTTCTAAATGCTAACATTTTAGCATTTGTGGCACAAATCACATTCAAGTCATGGGACTGATATGAGTATTTTTCTGAATCAATTTGAGATACTTTCGGATGATTTGGACATGATGTGCATAGACTGCTTACAAGGTAAGTAAACCAATATTTTATTTGGTAATTTGGGTGAACTATGCCTTTAAAGTGTATTCCGCACGTACACAGTTTAAACCAGGTATAAACGGTGCCGTGAAATGTTTACTTGCAAGCTCACTCAACAGTGCAGTACAATACAGTGTGTCACACCATATGTTATATGTATGTATTACTATGTTACACACTTAATGGGGGAATGATTGTGTTATTAGTATTACACACTTAATGCATTAGACTTTTGATGGGTAAACCTCCAGTGAGCTATTATGGGATTGGGTTAAAGTCTGGTATGCTGTGGTTGGGATCCAGAGAGAAGGGGAGGGGAGGGGGAAATTTAGACTGTCTGCCCCAGAAACTGCAGCGTCTGACTGGATTAACTCTGACTCATCCACTCCCCCACCCATCACTGTGTCACTGTGTCCAGTCAATTAGTTGTCTCTGGCACAGCCCAATCAGTATGCAGTATCCGGACGCTAGTGGGGTGTGATTTGTGATTTGTGTCGAGAGGTTTGATGTATGGTGCCAGTGTATTCTACTTCATCATCAAACTCTTGTCTGAAACAACATTGTAAAAAGCACTGCTGCTGATCCCTACACTCTTAGTCTTAGATAAAAAGAGTTCCAAAAGGGTTCTTCAGCTGTTCCCATAGGAGAACCCTTTTTGGTTCCAGGTAGAACCCTTTTTGGTTCCATGTAGAACTCTTTTGGGTTCCATGTACAACCCTCTGTGGAAAGGGTTCTACGTGGAACTCAAAAGGGTTCTACCTCGAACCAAAAAGGGTTCTTTAAAGGGTTCTCCTATGGGGACAGCCGAATAACAATTTTTTATCATAACTATTAGACCCAGCACAGATTAGTTTCTCATCTGTGAGTCATACCTTACACTCAAAGCCATTCAAACACACACCTACATTTTAACCCATACACACTCTAATGAACTCTACACAGTCAAATCCAGTTCTATCTAGCAGTGCTGGATTGTAGTAGCTGATACGGCTGCCTTGCCCCCTTCTGTGTCATTCCCAACTTCACCATGGTAATGTCTCACCATGCTGTCCACTCCACACAGTGTTGTCCCTTGTTTTAGACATTATCACTGCGCACCCATTTCTTTGAAATGGTATCATAATTTCATCGCCATAGGCTTTGATGGACCATGCATATTAATCTTATTTTGCAAGATTGTTGTGATTCTGCTGAGCTCTGGCACTGTGGGGAGTGTGACTGAGGCACACACATGAAAGTGTGTGCCTTTCTGTAAGTGTGTGAATGCAACAGAGACGGAGACGGGGGCTTGTCTCTAGTGGTTTAGTGTCAGACTCAGCACTCCTCTCATGGTTTTGTGGTTTAACTGTGCTGTGCCGGTATTTGGCACTTTTGTCATCATACAGCGCTGTTTGCCATATGGGACTCCCACCCACCTCTCTATTCTTTGAGCAGCTGTACAGAGTTTTGTTGGAGGATACTGCTCATATTTTGTGGTTATGGTTTCTCAGCTCTTCTCAGCTCTTTGGTGAAGAGTGAGGCATTTTGGTTTCCTATGCCTGCATGCCTGTGACTGGTTCTTTCCTCCGCTTCATGACTTTCAGTTATTCAAGCGCCAGCTTTAACCCCTTGTTGCACATGTAGACACAGCTCCCTTCCTCCCCTCAGCCCCTCCTCTCTGCCCTGCCCCACCTGATTGTCAGCCCCTCGTTGACAGTGGTACTCCAACCCACAGTACTTCTGAGCAATCCGGACAGGCACCACACAAACAGGTTCACAATGAATAGTGAATAATGAATACATTACACTGCCAACACACAGTGCTTTGGCTGTCGTTGTGCACAGCCAGTGCTTTTACTCTGAGTTAAGAGGGTGTACGGCTATCCAATATTGATAGCTCAACTCTACAGTATGTCAGTCAGCAAACTACACATCTGCTTGTGACGTGTTGGTACTGTAGCCCTCTGCTGGTCCCCTGACGTCATTGCTGCAAACTCTGTGTTTCTCTCCTCTCCTTCTTTCTCTGACTATATAGGTTCCAGAGCGCAAAGAGTTTAACCGCATCCTTTGCCCTACTAACAGGCAGGATGCCCCACTCAAGGTGCCCGGGTGGGCAGTCTCTATCCGAGCCTCGTCTATGCCTCAGCTGGCTGTAGACACACAGGTACCTGTTACTGAACAGCCCCTCACCTCCCCTCCTCTACCCATGGGGACTCAGCGAGAACAGGACCCAGGCAGACAGTGTCTGTAGGGGCTTCAGATGGATTGATGAACACTGGGGAAGTGCAGGGACATAGATACAGCAGTCAGTCAGTCAATCAGCCATGAAGTGAAGGATTGGGTGTTACTAGGTTGATACATATGATTTCAGCTGTTACCTTCAATGGTTGTTCAGTGTGGATGACATACTTTGATGGTTTCTAATCCTTGCGTGGCAAAAATGTCTGTGTGCCAGGTTTCCCAAAACGTTGTCTTTTTAGTCCAAGGTAATATGCCTTGGAAGTGGCTTTGGGTCCTTGAAAAGCGCTATGTAAATAGCATGTATTAAACATGTAATATGTGTATTGGATGAGAGAAAGTCTTCTGCTCAGAACTCAGATTAGTACTCCACACACTTCCTACCCTCCCACATTCTCTCAACCAATTGTTAATGCATATGTGTGTGTGTACTGTATGTGTGTTTATCTGTGTGTGTAGGTTGGGACAGACAGCAGCAAATTGATGAAACGCTCCTTCTCCACTATTGGTGATCAGTGCGTGAATGGGCTGTGGCAGGAGGAGTACTCTCTGGAGAGGGTCAGTTCTGACCGTCTGTACAGACCACGACAGAGGAGCATCAGAGGTACCTTATACACAGTTACAGTTTACATGGCTCCTTTTCCTTCACTCTGTTTAAAGCAGGAATGTGTTCACTATGCCATCGCTTAGGGTCCATTCACTGGTCCTGTTCCTTAGCATTTGAAGAACTATTGAAGAACAGTGGAAGTTCTCAGTTTCAGAAGCCCCATGATGAAAGCTGTGTGTTTACTATGATGTATGTGCTCCTCTTCATAGCTCCCCTCTCTCTCCCTGCCTCTCAGGCATCAAGTCCAACCTCAGGGAACCAGTGGATCAAGAGCGGGGGCGCTCCAAAGAGCGGCGCCACCTGCTGTCTCCCGACGTGTCCCGCTGCAACTCTGAGGAGCGTGGCCAGGACCCGTCACAGGAACGCAAGCAGGCCCGCTCCCCCAGCGAAGGACACACAAATGTCCTCCATAGACAGGTGGGTGTTCTTTTAACGGCCCTGACACTGTTATTAATCAATTCCTGGCTTTACCTGTCAATAAATACCCCTACTACCACTGAAGCCTGGTTGATGTGTGAGGTCTCTTCTCTCTGCAGGGGGACACTTCAGGCAGTCCAGGCCCATCTAACTCTGAGTCCAGCGCCCCATGTGGCCGGCGCCAGCTCCCCCAGACGCCATCGCGGCCACGCCCTCACATCTCCTACTCCCCACTGATATGCCGAGCCCACCCCTCCCCCCCCGATGCCAGCGAGGGCAGAGCCTGGACTCAGGAGGCCCCCGGAGAGACGGAGGAGCCCTCGTGGAGGGAGGAAGGGGAGAGGCCAGCCCAGGTGGCAGGAGTAGGATTGGGGGTGGGGGTGGTAGTAGGGGTGAGTGGCCCAGGGTTAGGGGTCAGTCACCCACACGCCTCCCCTCACCGGTACATCTCGGAGCCATACCTGCCCCTGCACGAGGATTTCCACAGCCCAGACTCCTCAGGCCTGGAGGAGACTCTGACCTTCGAGGCGGCCATTGCAACCAGTCTGGGTCGAGCCAACACCATCAGCTCTGCCCCTCAGCTCAGACACAACTGGCAGGTCCCCAACGGACATTTACATAAACGCCTGGGTCAGGCCAGCTCTGTGGCCGCCTGCGAGCTCCTGTGTGACACCGACGACGATGACCACTGTTAGGGCCGGGACTGGGAGAGGAAGAGGAAGAGGAGGATGATGGACAGCAAAACTTGGGCTGGGGTCCTCAGTCTGAAGTATGCTGTCAGGGCGTATACTGAGCATGCATCTGTCTGTGTGTGTATCTGTGTGTTTGTAGGAGTGCAATATGTTTGCCAAATCAATAAGACAGGGAAGATATGGGGAGTGCACTGCTGGCGTACAGTGCAAAAGTTCACCAGTTGCATTTTGATTGTTGTTTGAACAAAGTCGGATAACTCAAACTGGGGAGAATGTACAGTTGAAGTCGGAAGTTTACATACACCTTAGCCAAATACATTTAAACTCAGTTTTTTTTTAAATGCCTGACATTTAATCCTTGTAAAAATCCCTTGTTTTAGGTCAGTTAGGATCACCACTTTATTTTAAGAATGTGAAATGTCAGAATAATAGTAGAGAGAATGATTTATTTCAGTTTTATTTCTTTCATCACATTCCCAGTGGGTCAGAAGTTTACATACACTCAATTAGTATTTGGTAGCGTTGCCTTTAAATTGTTTAACTTGGGTCAAACGTTTCGGGTAGCCTTCCACAAGTTTCCCACAATAAGTTGGGTGAATTTTGGCCCATTCCTCCTGACAGAGCTGGTGTAACTGAGTCAGGTTTGTAGGCCTCCTTGCTCGCACACGCTTTTTCAGATCTGCCCACAAATGTTCTATAGGATTGAGGTCAGGGCTTTGTGATGGCCACTCCAATACCTTGACTTTGTTGTCCTTAAGCCATTTTGCTACAACTTTGGAAGTATGCTTGTGGTCATTTTCTATTTGGAAGACCCATTTGCGACCAAGCTTTAACTTCCTGACTGATGTCTTGAGATGTTGCTTCAATATATCCACATAATTTTCCTTCCTCATGATGCCATCTATTTTGTGAAGTGCACCAGTCCCTCCTGCAGCAAAGCACCCCCACAGCATGATGCTGCCACCCCCATGCTTCACGGCTGGGATGGTGTTCTTCGGCTTGCAAGCATTCCCCTTTTTCCTCCAAACATAACGATGGTCATTATGCCCGAACAGTTATATTTTTGTTTCATCAGACCAGAGGACATACAAAAAGTACGAACTTTGTCCCCATGTGCAGTTGCAAACCGTAGTCTTGCTTTTTTATGGCGGTTTTGGAGCAGTGGCTTCTTCCTTGCTGAGCGGCCTTTGAGGTTATGTCGATATAGGACTAGTTTTTTGTACCTGTTTCCTCCAGCATCTTCACAAGGTCCTTTGCTGTTGTTCTGGGATTGATTTGCACTTTTCGCACCAAAGTACGTTCATCTCTAGGAGACAGAACGCGTCTCCTTCCTGAGCGGTATGACAACTGTGTGGTCCCATGGTGTTTATACTTGCGTACTATTGTTTGTACAGATTAATGTGGTACCTTCAGGCGTTTTGGAAATTGCTCCGAAGGATGAACCAGATTTGTGGAGGTCTACAAATTTTTTTCTGAGGTCTTGGCTGATTTCTTTTGATTTTCCCATGATGTCAAGCAAAGAGGCACTGAGTTTGAAGGTAGGCCTTAAAATACATCCACAGGTACACCTCCAATTGACTCTAATTATGTCAATTAGCCTATCAGAAGCTTCTAAAGCCATCATTTTCTGGAATTTTCCAAGCTTTTTAAAGGCACAGTCAACATAGTGTATGTAAACTTCTGACCCACTGGAATTGTGATACAGTGAATTACTTGTGTCATGCACAAAGTAGATGTCCTAACCGACTTGCCAAAACTATAGTTTGTTAACAAGAAATGTGTGGAGTGGTTGAAAAACGTGTTTTAATGACTCCAACCTAAGTGTATGTAAACTTCCGACTTCAACTGTATCCTCACTGCTTAGACCTATGAAAATAATAAGTATGTTTTAAGTACAGTATGTAGCTGAAAATAGCATGTGACACTGAAGTATCAGGAATATGTTGAAATGGTACTATTTTCCTCCTGTAAGATAAGAAGTTCTCAATTGTTAGATCTTTGTGGATCATGATGAAACAGTGATTGGTGTGTAGGGATCTGAAGCAGACATTGGTTGTCACATCAGACACTTATTTGAAACAACCCAACTAGCACATTGGGTTCCTTGGAAGTTGTGGGAACGTACGTTTTTGGTCCTGGGTACGAAGCCATAAGTTTCCTTACCAGTAAAACTGAACGTTTTTTAAACATACTAAGAACGGAAGTGAAAATGTTGCCTGTTCTGGGAAATAAAATGTTTATGTTGCAGGAAGGTTCTGAGAACATTTTACAATGGTTCCCTGAAAGTTTTCCTGGGAGGTTTTATTAACATTCTGATAATGGAAATTACAGGTAGTTTAACTGTTTTGAACTCCAAGCACAGATAGGACACATGGAAATTGATTTTCTGAGGCATTAATCATGCAAACACATTTCTTTTTTATTGTGTCACGGCGCCAGTGAGATTCGAATCTATGATGTTCTGTTCCCTATCCATGGAATTAGTCCACTGTGCCACCAGGATGGAGTTATTAGCATGCCATGTTTTTTTAAACTCATACAAAGCTGTTAATTTTAGTCTATTCAAAAAACCCTATTTCAAAGGAAACAAGCACTCATTAAGATCAGGCATGGCCAATTAGTGGGCGCGGCCAACACACCTGAACACACTTAACAGGATAGAGGATAGAGAGAGTTTTGTTGACGCTGAGAACAGAATGTATATGTTTTTAAATAACATTCTCAGAACGTTCTTTGAACTAGTGATGGGGAAACTGAGCTTCCTGAAGCATTGGGCATTTCCAGCCAATTGTGTCAAAAATAGGTTCATTACTCGAGGCTTTGATCAACATGTTGTACACTAGTGGCACCTGCTGGTCAAAATCATTTAGAACCGCCAAATTATAATAGTCGCACACGCCATGTTGCCTGTGCAGAGTAGCCTTTTTGTCTTCTACCAAAACCAATACCAAACCAATCAGGTGGTTGCTCGACAAAACAAAGCTTCGGACGTCATTGATCACGTGCTTCTGATAAAGTGAAACAAGCATAGGCACACTGCTTTGAAGTAACCTGCTTAGCGATTTTGACGTATGCCTCAGAGCACCGGTATCAAACGTATCATCACTACTTTGAACGTTACTAATGTTTTTATGGAAACTTTTCTTAATGTTCTGAGAACATGACTTTAAATAGAACCATGAGGAAGCCTGCAGAAAACGTTATGCTGAAGTACTGAAATTCCCAACTAAGAAATACACTGATTGTACAAAACATTAAGGACACCTTCCTAATACACACAAAACTGTTGAGCGTGACAAACCCAGCTGCGTTGCAGTTCTTGACACAAACCGGTGCGCCTGGCACCTACTACCATATCCTGTTCAAAGGCACTTCAATCTTTTGTCTTGCCCATTCACCCTCTGAATGGCACACATACATAATCCATGTCTCAATTGTCTCAAGGCTTAAAAATCCTTCTTTAACCTGTCTCCTCCCCTTCATCTAAACTGATTGAAGTGGATTTAACAAGTGACATCAATAAGGGATCATAGCTTTCACCTGGATTCACCTGGTCAGTCTATGTCATGGAAAGAGCAGGTGTCCTTAATGTTTTGTACACTCAATGTATATGGTTCTCAGAAAGTTATCTGCTAGCTGGGTATCCTGCACCCTTCTCAGAACCTTGTGGGAAGGTTGTATGCAAAATAACCATAGGACAACCACACTCTCACCAAGCTCTAAGAAACATATGGTTCTCAGAATGTTATGTGCTAGTTGGGACCCATTAAGCAAGGACATTACTTTTCCCTGATAGGAACTGTACATTTCCAGAGCTCTAGGGCTTTGAACCCTCTCAAGTCAGGTGTTCCAGTGTAATTTCATGTCAATGCTCAAGTTCTCATTTTCAGCCTAAACATGGTGGGTGTGTCCTTGTGTGACCTTCAGTGTGTCTCTGGACAGAGGACCCACTACCATGCTGTTGTCTGTCACTGTCACCTCATTGGATTAAGCATGATGTCCACTTTGAGGACTTGGGAGAGGGCCAGCCCTGAACTATAGACCTTGACTGGACAGCAGCAAGACTGGCCTCTCCTACAAAACTATATGGAAACAACAGACATAGTGTAATGTTCATGGTCTGGATACTGCTGTCATGTCCATAGTCTGGAAAACCAGACCCTGTTAAAGACATGCTCTGGAACATTGGCGACTACTAAGTATTTTTTAAACATCCCACTCTGGGCTGGATGTGTTAATGTGTAGTTCATACATGCATAATCTATCAGCAATTAGCCACGAAATCCCTTGTTTGAAAGCAACTGTTTTTCTGGAAGCTGTGCTGCGCCATTTTCCCTACATTTTGCCCCACGAGGGCCAGCCCACTAGCAATTCGAGTTCAACCAATGAGTTCTAGCAATTCGAGTCCCTCGCCATTTGAGTGACTGCACATCATGCACACACAGCAGAGTGAGAGAGAGAGCAAAGACGTGGTGCACATATCTGCACGAGATATAGTACACCATTTTCGGGGACCACTTTTGTCTCGTGAGCTCTACTTTCAGAACTACTGGCTAAAAAGTATACAAAAGTACTGGACATTCTCTTTAAGCCAGAGCATTTGAAAATTGTGGGAAACAACTTGGATTTCTAGAGAGACTATCATGTTCATGTGCTGGATACTACTGAAAAAGAAAGTCTACAAAGCCATTTTTCCTGTAAATAGAATCAAGTGTCTTGAGGATGTGTTTCCTTTTGTGTAATAATGAATAATATCTGTCCTTTGATGCAAATGATTTCAACATGGATGTTTTTATGGATGATTCCTAACTATGATTTATTTTTAAAGTTAACTCCCATGTCACTTTTAACACTGACCGAGTCAGTTTTTGCTAACAGGTTTACAGTGCTGTATAAAAATAGATTTTACCCTGATACAGCTCTGTGTTGTAGCAACATTATGGTGATGGTTATGGTGATAGGGATAAAATGTGCCTGCCTGTGAGTAGGGTGACTCAGTGCAG